CTGCATGTCTTTGGACTGTGGGAGGAAACCGGAGTACCCGGAGGAAACCCACGCAGACACGGGGAGAACATGCAAACTCCACACAGAAAGGACCCTGGTCACCCAGCCGGGAATCGAACCCAGGCCATTTTTGCTGTGAGGCGACAGCGCTACCCGTGCCGCCCAGGGTTGAGTTATTGAGTAGTCTTAAATAGACTTACTTATATGCTTTCTGACACTGTTTGACTATACAATATCGATAAAAATGGACAAAATGCAGACTTTAAGATGACCGATACTACTGTTAAGCTATGGGTAGTACTTTTGTTCATTGGTTCTACATTTGAGGTGTGTAAATTAAATTTTTTGCCAACCTATCACTTTATCTTTTAAGTTTCAATATGCTGCTATTGCTGTTTTAGCTATGAAATGTACTTCTGTCATTTTGTTGTATATATTAACGTCATACATTGTCAGTACTATTTATTTAGACATACAGTTTGTACAACTCTAACTGGTGCTTTCATTACATGTTAGCTACATTAGCCTCATAACTCCAGTTCAAAACTAAAGAAGCAAACTTCAGACACCAAACATGTCTTGACTGAAGTGGAAAGCTCTGCACTTTCCCTTATAGAAAAGAATTATGAATTTGAACATGTTTTCACGTGTAATTCACATGTAAAAACACATTTTTAGTATGTGAAGTGTACAAAAAACATGTTTATTCCCATGTGAAATTCATCTGTTGTTCTGTAAAGGTTGACTTTAAAGCCATAGGCCTCATCGAGAAAGGGCTTGGGTTAATAGTTAATGTGTCACGTTCACACTTTTAGAATAAAAACAAGCTGTTTTAAAAGGGCAACTTTCAGATTCAACACTGTAGGTTTGAATAAATCTCATAATGTTTAACACAGTGTAACTAACAACAGGAAAAAAGCTCATCATGCAAATTTTTAATGCCACACTTTCTGTCCACTGGACAAAATACATTACAGTGAGAGGTCATGTGGACCATTGGAGCATGAATGGATCACTTGATCAATGTTTTGTCATTTTAGGATGTAAACAGTTGGCTAAATCAAAAAGGCAAAACTTCTATCTATCTATCTATGAAACTGATGTGGTCATGAATATGTTGCCTGATGTGTAAGTCATTGCTTTATGATAGTTTTGAGACAAGATTTTGGCCCTAAAATGTATTTTTTAAGAATCCATTCATGGCAGAGAGGTACATGCAGGGTGTTGTATGGCGAAATAGTCCACAAAATGTAAAAAAAAAAAAAAAAGTTTTAATTTTGTTCATGTAAAAATTGTATTTTTTAAATATTTTTTCTATTTTACCATGAATAACATTACATATAAAAATTCAGAAGACACAAGTAGGTTCACTGATCATTTTGGATAGAAAATAAAATGGCTATAATTGTGTTGTAGACATTGTGACCCCTGGTTCTCGTCATCATTTTAAAGACATCTGAGCTGGTAGGTTTCCACTCTGAATGACTTTGTTTACATCTCAGTGATTGAATTATGCAGATGTCAGTGGAATTCCCATTTAACATCATCAATATAACTTAGACCTATAAAATAAAAAAAATATAATGTATATATTAATATTTCTTCATTACGGACTGCAGTTGTATTGTGGCAGGGGAGCCACTAGAGGGCAGTAAAAACCTTCAAAGGTGAAGATGCGAAAAAAGACATGGAACGTTAGAAATTATTACATTTTGAGTAAAATAGTCATGAATTTTGAGTTTTTTCAAGTTGAATATTTCAAGTTGAATATAATTGATTTGACTTGCCTGTTTAGAAATGTGAATTCAGCTGTTTGAAATTTCCATGTAATTACATTCACTGTAAATGAATTAACTTGATCTATATTCATTCTCACACTATTCACGTATTAATAAGTCAAAGTCAGGTCTTTTTGTCTCTTTTACATGTTCATCCAAATGAGACGCCACAATTAAGCTTCATTAAGATGTTGGGCCACTGCTGCCCCCTAGTGGATAGACCTGCAGCTTCACCTGATTCGTGCGTTAGTGCACGTACACGCCACAGTGCTCATCAATAATTGCGGTTTCGCAGAAGATCTGTCTTCCAGAAACATGAAAACATGCTGTCCATTCTCTTTCACAGATCTCTTCTTCTGCTATCACTGACACTGTCCTGATGAGGTTATCACTTTACATTTACTGCATCAAAACCGAAAGCTGATTGACATTGATGAGGTAAACACTGATCTGTCTGATTTCACAGGCCTGAATCTCTGCATAATCTGTAAACCCATCATGGCAGCTTTAATCATTAATCTGAGAATCACTTATTAGTCATGTTCAGTATTTTAGCAGTCAGAATGTCAACAATGTTGCTGACTGAGTCTATAAAAATGATCATTAATCTTAGCTTGGGGTATGAGGTGGGCTATATTTGAGTGCTTTATGAGTATTTTATAAGACAGATTGATCTTGATGGTGTTGAGGGTGTAAATGATTAATTCTAAGCAAGGCTGTTTCTGAATATTTTGGAGGCCCTTAGCGACATTTTACTTCTGGGCTGGCTACCAAAACCCCAGTCAATGATTCATTATTTGGACCAGGAAGAGAAAAAATTTAGTAAATGCTAGGGTATAGTCAATGAAACAGCAGATACAGGAAGCTGAATATATAAATAAATAATAAATAAATGAATAAATAAACAATACAGTACTGTGCAGAAGCCACAGTTTTATTTATTGAATTTGCATTCAAAACATTCATTCATTTTCAGGAGATATTTCTGAGATCAGATATAAGATAATCCACTGGCATAAGGAAAGGAACAGTCAAAGGAAAATAAGTGAAACACGGGGAGTTTACAAAACTGGACATTAAATCATTTTTAAAACATTACAGTCGTATGCAAATGTTTTTACGCCCCTAGTCAAACTGCACGATTTTGTAAGTAAAAATAAACAAAAATAAGTTAACATGTCCTCTACACTTCTGTAATCTACAATTACTCTTTATTTGCTAAATTTGACATGTAGAGAAAAAACATAAATAATAAACAAGCAGTGGCATTGATGGTGTTTCTTTTGAAGATTGAAAGTTTGTTTTTATATTTAGTGGGTAAGTATTCTAAAAGTATTCACTAAAAAAAGTGAAAGATAACTGTATTCTGAATACTCAATATAACTTAGACCTATAAAGTGAAAAAATAAAATATGTATATTAATAATTCTTCATTACGGACTGCAGTTGTATTGTGGCAGGGGAGCCACTAGAGGACAGTAAAAACCTTCAGAACACAGAAACGAAAAGATGTGAAAAAAGACATGGAACGTTAGAAATTATTACATTTTGAGTAAAATAGTCATGAATTTTGAGTTTTTTCAAGTTGGATATAATTCATTTGAACTGCCTTTTTAGAAATTTCCACGTAATTATATTCACTGTAAATTAATTAACTTGGATCTAAATTCATTATTCACGTATTAATAAGTCAAAGTTTCAAGTTTCTTTAAAAATTCACTTTTGCTCTCTCACTGTCTGCTTCAATCCATTGCTGCTCCCACAATCTGAGCAGGAGTCCAGTATAACATTGATGCTATATCAGTTGTAAACACCAGCTTGATTTATCAGTCTCCTCACACTTTAGCAGAGCCCATTAACATTGAGATTAATAACTGACTGGTCACATTGATTTATTGGTCTACTCAGGCTTCAGCAGAGCTCAGTAAAACTGAGATTAATAACTGACTGATCACATTGATTTATCGGTCTACTCAGGCTTTAGTAGGAACTTCAGTGTAAAGAAGCCGTTAATTGTGATCCTCTATAGAATTTCTCCAATGAGCATGTTTGCTACATGCCATGCATTGACTTTAAAACAGTTAATAAACAAGCAGTGGCATTGATGGTGTTTCTTTTGAAGATTGAAAGTTTGTTTTTTATTTAGTGGGTAAGTATTCTAAAAGTATTCTCCTAAAAATGTGAAAGATAACTGTATTCTGAATACTGTCTTTACAACATGTCACTTGGACTGAATACAGGTACTTAATTTCTGCATTATGAATACATATTTCCATACTTATTTTCTGTTACATCCCAACCTTGACCACATCTCCATCCACATTCTGCCCATCCTTCCACTGTGAGAAGATAACTCAGCACTGTGGGGCTGAAAGGAAGCTGTCAAGATGTCATTACTTAGAAAAGAAACAAAAAAGAAGAACATTTTGCACCCAAACACTGAAATGGGAAAGCTGAGGTGTAGGTTGAGGTTTATGAACGTATGAGTCTAAATTTGTAATTGGGATTACTTAGATCATGAGAAAAAGGAAGTACAACCAACTTCTAAGACTTAACTTTGGAGGCATGTAAGAACATTCCTGCAGCTTTCTTGAAGGCAAGAAAACTGAAGGCAAGTCTCCTGAAAAGGCAAAAGATGGACGCACCAAATACTGACAAGACGTGATATTTTATTTAGTTGTTGAGGCTTCTGAGTAACTTACTGGTAAAAATATGCTTTCTGCTTTTGCCTGATGCTGAAAAATGAATACATTTAAATAAATGACTTTTGCACATTACTGTCCATTAAATAAACAAATACTATATACTTGTGCACCCCCCGGAGAAATGGGGGGCTTAGCAACTGCTTATCACTTAAAAGATAAACGGCTCTGTGTCTGAGATGAGATCTTTAAAGTGTGTGTGTGTAAATCAGACCGTTCTAGGCTGCAGAGGATCAGTGTTTACACGGCCTGATCAGCTGAGATTTGTTTACAAGGCGTAGTTCAGGGGTTTATCAGCCAGATTGTGCAGGACTGCATATGAATGACACATCTGACATGATATAATCTGAACGCAGTCAGGCTGCAGCTGATGTAGGTGAAAGGTCAGCTCCGCTCTTTCTGTTTCTGAGGTTTTGGAAATGCAACGCACGTTGACGCCTCTTCGCCCACGTGACCGGATCCTCGCGCTTTCATTGGCTGTCAGTGATACACACGTAGGCAGGCGGTATTGCAATAGAAAGTGCACCCCGTGTTCTCTAGCGGACACCCTGCTGCTGCTGCAGACATGTAGCCTCCAAACACGCCAGAACAATTTGTACAAATTGTCATTTTTTAAATATATCTTTCCGTTTTAAAGAAAGACGTGGGCGGCGTTTGTTTCGGTTGATTCGAAATCAAGCCGACCTGTTAACTCAGTTTGGAGTCATTGATTCAAGCTAATATTCCGCTTGGATTATTTTAGATTGCTGTTGTTTTAATCTGTGGTCTAATTTAACTGCTTGACAAGAAGAAGATGGACACGAAAAGTCTCTCTCCGGACAGAAATATTCTGTGTTTATTCGATGTGGACGGAACCCTGACCCCACCGAGAGAGGTAAGAGGAGCTAGAGGGAGGATATATGTCAGATATTTGAGATGTAAACACTGTTGATGTTACCTCAAGTGGATCAAGTGGATGCTGTCGATTCATAGGGAGAACAGCCGACTATCCTTCGCTGTCTTATCATTCATTGCAAGCTTATCAACCTATTTTACACCCTTATGTAACGTTAATTAGCTTCCATTTACAGCCCTGATACCCCTGATACACTTCCTCTGCTTGTTCTGGGTTACTACAGCAGCCTCTATGGGTGTCTTCAGTACATTTAAAGGAGAATTTCACTCATTTTTCAAAATTCCTGGTTAAGATGTACGGCTTCAATGGTGAAGATGTAAACAAAGTCATTCAGGTTGGTTTGGTGGGAAATGTTTAGTCCTTGAGAAACTTACAGAGTCAGAGCTGTTCACAGTGGTGGTGATAGGAACCAGACGTCTGAGGAGTTTAATGCCTCTGAAAGCTCCTTCACAGAAAGTTATTATACGAAATGGTTATGAATACATCGCCTCATGCTTGAGACATTGGTTTACGATCTTTTGAGAGACACTGTTTTATGACCTTTTGAGAAGATTTTGGCCTAAAATGAGTGTTTTTTTTATCTATTCATGCAGGCCACTGTGAGGCAAAATAGACCCCAAAGAAGACTTATTTTTTCAGATTTGCCTCTATTTTAGCATCACATTACATCTGTGAACTCAGAAGACATGTGTAGGTTCACTGGTGGTTTTGGATGCTATGTTTGGGTTATAGATCTCACAGCTCCTGGTTCCTGCCACCACCACTGTAACGAAATTTGAGTTGGTAAATTTTACAACAGTTAATCATTTTACATCAGACCACTATGATTGACTTTGTTAAAAACTCAACCTCTGATTTCCACAAATGTTTTTGAAAAATCTGTGGATTTCCCAGTTGTGATGAACTGGTGGCAAATTCAAGTACAGTTTCCTACCACAGCTACTTTAAAAGGCAATATGAGAGTGGGTTGACATTTTCTACAACAGCTACTTTAGGAGACAGCTTACCACCATGAATGCTTTTAAAATATGTTTTAAGCCAACACCCTAGCAAAATTATCTTAATAATACCTTTATAAAACTATAAACGATGTCTCAGGCAGCACATTCATACCTGTATATGTAACAGTGGGGAAGCTTTTGAAGGTGGATGTCTGGTTCCTTTTGCCACCACTGTGAACTATTCTTCCTCTGCAGATTTGTCTAGAATGGTGCATTTCGCATAAAACCACTCTGAATGCTTTAGTTTACCTCTTAGTTATTTAGTTATGCAGATTCTTTGAAAAATGAGGGGAATTTTCCTTTAAGTGCATAGCCATAACTCCTTTGGATTATCACAGCAAAATACAGACAAAGTCCTTTTTCACAGTCTTATTTTGTGCTGAATGTGTTTTTATGGTCAATGGTGGCATTAAGCCAGTAGTATATGTGTCCATTCAACTGTGTAAGAGTCAATTCAACAGAGGTGTTCATTCATCACTGTAATGTTCACTCAGCAGTGGCGATTTGGCACTGATCCTGACCCGTGTATCAATGATGTAAGCAGTCTGAGGTTTGTTGGTTTGACTGCTGCCTGGTATTTATTGGGCTATTTCCAGCTGATGGGTACTTGTGAAATACATAGGCCTGGATGGGCAGGTTTGCCCAAGCTGTAAGTGAGCGAGCTTCTTCCAGTTACTGCACCCCACAGATTCACTGGAAGCTGCTGCTTATTGCTGATGTCCTCATAAAACTGCTTAAATTGTGACACATGTTCTGTCATGTCTCTTAGTAGGCACTCTATGTACATGCTTTAGGTCACTTCTTGGTATTTCTGACCAGACTGCTCCACTGCTGTCTGCAGTATTTTCATATGATTGTTTGAGTCATCACATCACAGCATCACACGTATGAGTATGAACCGCAAAGACTGCAAAAGACTGCATGTTGCCAGGATTGTTGTTTTTAAGGTTCAGAATTACACAAACTGATACAACATAGATGCAATTAAATAACCAGCTACTACCATTGCTAGAGAGGTTTAAGCCAGGGGTTGGCAATAATATGGCAAAAACATAACATCATGATACATTAAGGCATTTTCATGATACCCAATGTGCATCATGATATTTCGTTTTAATTAAACGTCTGTAAAAATAAACTATTCAAGACAGCAGAACAGGAGGTGAAAACCTAATAATTGATAACTAGTATTATGGATTAGAACCGCCAAAAACTATTTGAGTGCTTATAGTGCCCCCTTGTGGAGAATCATCAGCCTGCTAAACAAGAAGTGAGTGAGTGAGTGAGTGAGTCAGGTCCATGAGATGTTTTGCATAAAAAAAGATGTACAATAATTGGCTGATATTCAGTCAGCTGCTTGTAACAATACAGTTTATGCAGTTATTTTATACACAGGTTTTTGTTGTTGCATAGGTTTGTACAGGCTTCTGTGTAATTGGTCTAAATCTGTCTTTATGATGCTTGTAGATGTGTAGTAATATATCGTCATACCTAACCCTATTCCAGAATCTGATTTTACAAACCTAATTATTTAAGCAATGTTTTGCAAAACCAATGTCACCGTCTTCAGGTGCAACATCATTCAGTATCTTTAAAAGAAATGCCAATCATTGCCTCAAGATGTAATATCAATCAGGGTCTTTGAAAGCAGCTGAAGAGTGTGGTTGAAACCAAAACTATGCAGAATGGTTAAGCACCTCTGGCCTACATGTTTATACGAAAGCATGTGTTGAATGTTATGCCAGTAGCTGTAAAGTCTGGAACTTTCTAGTATATAAGGCATTATCACTAAGCTTCAGGGAGGCAAAGATGTTAAAGCTGTGACATGTTACAATGGATTCTCATGATTGTAATTATGTCTTCATTATTAACATATTGTGGTCTGTTGTTTTGACAATATGGCATGACATGCCATTAAAGCAAACATTTAAGTGATAAAAATGAGAGAAACTGAGGGGAGACAGGAGAATGGGTGTGGTATTATATAACTGATTCTGTGAAATAATGAACAGAATGAACTGAACACACACACACACACACACATTTTTGCCTGCAGTCTCCCAAGCTGGAGATTTAAAGTGCTAACCGCTGATCCAACCACATAAACATGTTTTAAATCACTTAACATTCCTTATTCATTGTAAACAATGACCATTTCTGTTACTTATTTTAACACTGAATCAGATGAGTGAAGCTGTTGTATGTGTGTTTGTTTGTTTTTGTATATCTTTGGGTCAAAAGTGTCCTAAATTTGTAAATGCAGAGAGAAACTGTTAACCAGTGTCGACAAAATGGTCCTGACTTTGTAAAGTGTTTTTACAAAAGTTCCCTAATTGCATATGGGTACTTACATGTGTGTATATATAATATTTATGGGGCATACTATTATTACATATAGGTGCCTACATACACAGAATGCATTGAAGACATATTATTACTTATAGATACATACATAAGTAGATACTGTCAGTGTTGTTCCCATTTAGCACTGATGGCTTCATACAGCTGAAAAACATTGCCAAGCTAGTTTGTGTTTAATGTGAGACCAAATATTCTCTATAGGGTTAAAATCTGGACTAAATACTAATGGCCAAAACCATTAGTATTTTGGGCTTGGACCATTTTTTGCTCTGAAGTATATAGTTAGATAGATAGCTAGACAGATAGACAGATAGATGGATAGACAATACATGTTGGACATATGGAGCGTATTGTTGTATATAGGTACATCTACATAAGAAATATGTGACATGTTTGAATGTTTATCCTGTTATTGTATAAAAAAACAAACCTGTGTGTGTTTGTACCTGCAGAAAATTGACCCACAGCTGGATGGATTTTTACAGTCTCTGCGTACAAAATTGAAGATTGGAGTGGTGGGAGGGTCAGACTACTCTAAGATAGCAGAACAGCTCGGAGAAGGAGATGAAGGTGAGCACTATCACTCCTGTCAATTTACTCTCACTGAGACTGCCCTCTAAACCAACTCATAAAACTTTTCCTTAAAGCAAAGGTTCAGAAAATCGAAAATACAGGTATGCACATTGTACCCTTATGCCAAATGTTTCTTTACTTTTGCATTGGAGCTACACGGCTAATGTAGCTAACAAAGTAATGATGGTTATACCCCATTAATTAGAATCATGAAAACTTCATACCTAAATCATCACTTACCTCAAACCAGACATAGTTATTATGTAATCTCAAATAGACTTGCTTATTTGGTTTCTGACACTTATCTAGAAAAGCTATTAAATGGTCACAAGTTTAGACAAATAGGCTTTAATTAGTTGCTTCTACTGTTTTTAAATAAGCCCATAACTAAGTCCAAAACTACTGTTTTTAAGTAGGCCCATAACAAACGCCAAAAGTTTGCTCTACTTTTTCCTCCGCTGGTCATCAGTTTCATACTTTTGTTCATGTGGCCCTTCCTTTGGGAGAAAGGAGGAAAAATGTGTGTGAATTAGATTTTTTTTGCTGTATTATCACTTCAAAGGGCCTATCTTATGGAAATTAAAGCTTCCCTTGTTTTTTTTTAAATAAAGGAGTTTGAATTTAATATGTAAACGTTGTCAGAGTTTCAAAAGGTACTATTCACTCCACAATCCATTAAGTCCATATATGAAAACTAAACTGCAAAAACATCACATTTTGAATTCATTGTTTCTGTGATGTAATGAGAACCAACTCATTTAAATCTGTCCATATTCAGCCTACAGCAGTTTAGCTCCACCCATTAATATTGAAGTTGTAAGGACAGTTTCAGCTGAATACTTTGTGAATGAGGCAAAATATAAGGCAGCCAATCAGAACAGAGCTCATTTATCTTAAATCTGCCTTAAAGGCACAGTAACAAAGTGATAAAGAGCGATTATAAAATGGTCATGTACATTTTTTTTTAAAGCAATTTTTGCTACATAAAACCACACACTGTAAAAAATGGCTCGTCAGATCTACCTAAAACCAAGTAACAAGTAAATTAACTAGCTTTATTCAACCTGAATAAACTATACAGCCTGTCTTGACTTCAGGCTTTTACTTTTATTTATTTTTTTAAAAAAGTGCACCTGAGAAAGTGAAATGTAATGAACCTGAAGCACCATGTTGTACCTTTGAGGGTTCACTTACATAGTTTGTATCTTGGGGGTGAAAATGCTTGTACAGTACCCTTTTTTCACTCAGAGTAAGTCTGTTAATACAAAAAGCTTTCAAATCAATGTATCACTATGTGTTAATGTCTTGTTAATGTGTACCTTTAGGGACCTTAGTTGTATTATTTGACCGTGATGACATTGAACACATATGGCTACTAGACTGCTGAACCTACCCAAGCACTGCTGAATTCTGGGAAAAGAGTGAGCGGCTGTAGTGAATGGACGCACTAAACTGTTCTAGTCACTGTCTGCAAGTGAAACTCAAGCGTAGAGATAGTCGTTTTGACGTCAGTTAGCATGTTGATCATAAGCTCCTGGCTGGCTCTTTCACAACCACACGTAAAGGTTTTGGCTCATAGCAGAAGACCCTGACTCAGTGAGACTAAAAATACACAGACACATGTACGCTGCATCTACAAACAGCACGGGAATGTGGAGAAGCTAGTTATCTGTTGATGCCAAACACAGCTGAGAGACTCATAGAATCCTATAGGCCAGGGCTTTCTAAACATAAATAAATATTTTAGTGCTTTCTCTGCTCTAACACACCTGATCTAGCTCATAAAGTAAATGTGAAGCTGTTCCTGAGTTGAATCAGTGACATTAGCTGTTAAAATACAAAATGCGTAGTACCAAAGACTTAAAGAAGATCAATTTGACACCATTTCCCCTTGTAGACAATCAGCAAAGATATGTTTGGTGCCTGATGTTTGCTTCCATAGTTCCGCACTGGTGCTACGAGGCTAATGTAGCTTACGTTGTATCCAACCAATTAGCGCTGCGCTAACTGCATGCTTAAACAACACACAACTCCTCAATTACATTGAGTTACTAATGGGAAATTATACCATTTTTAAAAAAGAATCCTTATAATTAAGTGGTTGAGATGTAAACAAAGGCATTCAGAGTGATGGTTCATTGTAGAGAAACTGACCAACTCAGATTTCTTTACAGTGGTGGTGATAGGAACCAGGGTTATCAATAAAACCATTTTATTTACTGTCCAAAATGCTACGTGTCCTCTGAGTTTGTATGTGTATTGTTGGTGATGGTAAATAATGGAAATGTGTTTTCTTTAGGGACTATGTAGGCTTAGAACACTCTATGTGTACCTTTAGCTTTAAAAAAAAATATTTTAGGCAATATGTTTATCTCAAATCTATCATAAAGGCATCAGGTAGTGTTTCCTCTAATAACTGTCTTAAATGTAACTTTTAGAGGCATAAAGCACTTCAGATGTCTGGTTCCTACCACTACCACTGTGAGCAGTCTCTCTACAATGGAGCATTTCCCATCAAACCATTCCAAATGACTTTGTTTACATCTTAGACCTTTAACTCCTCTTTAAAGGAGACAGTGTGACCTACAGTAATAGCAGGCACAAACAAGAAACAGCTCATTCCAGTAACACCGAGGATCAGGTTTGCTAAAGAGGTCAGTATTTGGTAAAATGCTTAGCAAATGTCCATGACTAGATCAGTGGTTGAGACTGTGAGATGTCACTTGTCGAGTCATTGGATAGAGCAGCTCTCACTAACAGATATTAATTAGCTATTTTTAAATGTCTTGTACCTTTAAGCGAAGAAACTTGACGGCTGAGCGGCTGTCAGAGGAAGTCAGTGTTTAATATTTAGGCTGAGGACACACAGCGTTCAGCAGATCACATTCACTTGAGGTCAGAAAGATTAGACTGTTCTGGGTCATGTTACGTGAGTTAATCTAACAGAAGCCGCCCTCCTAAGAAAGGTTAGAGCAAGTTCAAGCAGGTTTCATTCAAGAGATGTTAATGCAGTTCTGTGGCACATATATTATCTATATGCATTCTGTTTAATATATTATATTCATTCTTAGAATTCTATAGCTATTGTAATTTTGACTATGACTATTTTGACTATGACCTCTGACTATTTTTGTTTGATTAACTCTCAACAAAATGACAAAAACATAGCAAAATAGTAAATAATATACAATACTGTGCAAGAGTAGTATGTGTGTGTGTGTATATATATATATATATATATATATATATACGTGTGTGTGTGTGTGTGTGTATATGTATATACAAAATCAAAACAAGTAATTGCCATTCATTAAACCTTAGTATGTTTTGTTTGTGACACAGAACACAGCTTTTACCAAAATGAAATATTAAAAAAGTGGAATTATATATAAGGAAGAAGAGATTCAAAGGAAAGTATAATCATAAAAAAAATTAAAACATGTGTTTGAGATTATTTGGATTGTAAGAAGCAGAGAAAATGCAACCAGTTTCTAAGACTGAATGTATTGGAAAAAATCTCACTGCAGATTTCCTTGAAAAACTGAAAAACATGGCAAAAATGGAAAATATGTACACATCATATTTCATATTAAAATAAAATATCTCCTGCTTACAAACACGTTGATTCAGAGTTAAAATCTGCACTTTCAAACAGATTTCTCTGTTTTAATAAGCTACAAATCAGAGACAATTTCTATGTAATTACAGCATGTTTTTTGATACCGCAGGGCTAATGAATCTTAAAGTAAAAAATAAATATCCAGTATCCTGTTGGTCCCTAAAACTGAGTCATATGTAAAGAAGTGATTATCTGCACGTTTATTGGCCACATTTCAGGTTCTCTTATGGGTTTCTTTATTGGTTGAAATAAAGGTGGCTGAAAAGTGGTAATAGTTACTAATAGTTACTTTCATTATATAAATGTGTATTTTCTGGGTTGTGTGAATCTCTCTCTTTTTTTTTTCCCTCTCTCTTTGCAGTCATACACAAGTTTGACTACGTGTTTGCTGAAAATGGCACAGTGCAATATAAGGATGGCAAACTGCTGTCCAAACAGGTGAGCTGAACTGCAGGGGGGGCAGGGTGGGGTGGGAGTGCAGTCTGAGAAAACCATCTGCTGCACTACAGGTAATTCAGACCGCATAAACACATTCACTCTGCCCAGCTGGATCTGAGTCACTTGTATTGAGACAGGGAGTGAATGGGATGAGCGAATACACACCACACCATCAAAATACAGACACTGTATAAGTCACACTGTTGCTGCATTCATTGCTAAATTGCAGAAGTGATTCAAAACCTTGGAAGCATCTTTTTCTGAGTGACATGTTGTTGTTCATCCAATAGTGCTAATTCATCATGAAAGTCAAGAATGAGCAAGAATGGAGCTTGATATTCTTCTCTCTCTCAAAGATGAAAGCTTTAAGTACTGTACATCTGATGGTGACAGTTTCGGGGGTCTACCAGGACTTGCATAGTTTTTAGGAGTCTCCTTTTTTCTGTATCTTTTCATCATTTTTTGAACTCCAGTCTTGGAAACTCCTGTTTTTTGTGCTTATTTTCCTTTGGCTTTGTTCCTTATGCAAGTGGATTATCTTATATCTTATCTCCTCAGAAATATCTACTCAAAAATGAGTAATTTGTACTTAATGGCTGTTTTGACTGGAAATTTAATTATGAAAGGTGGTCTCTGACTATTGCACAGAACTGCAGGCTCTGCTCAACTGGTTCTGAGTCACCTGTATTAAGACAGGGAGTGAATGGGATCAGTGTATACACACCACATAATCCCAATACAGACACTGTATAAATCACACTATTGCTACATTCATCGCTGAATTGCATAAGTGATTCAATAACCAGTTGAAAGGTGCATCATCCTCTTTTTGCAGTAATGAGTAATGTGATTGTATTCATCCAATAATGCTTATTCACCATGAAAGACAAGAATATTTCTTACCATTGTTTAAATCAGGTGTGCAAACATTTTGTCTTGTATGAAGTATTATGTTTGTAGTGGGATGAGGGTTAAAAAGCCGGTATGAGTGTAGAAATGGTATTCTTTAAATACTTTGATAGTTTCTTTTCATACAAGACGTGCTGCCTTGCCTTTACATTGAGTGAAAAGAAGTTCTTTACACCGCTGGTCTCTAAATCTTCTCGGGTACCAGCGTACCATCTATGTTATTCTATGTTGGCTTATACCTGTTTGCAGAATATGTGTTGTTGCATCAGCATTGTAGGCATTTTGTTAAGTTCATCTTATTTTTTTTTTTGACTGTGATTTTCAACTTGTGGGCTGTTGTGATACAAATATTTTATTAAAATAAAAGAAAAAAACAGCAAAACTTCATTACAATAGACTTACACAGTGGTTGGTATGGAAAAATAGCTACAAAATGTTTGGATCTTTTGATGTTTATTATGTTACATGATTTTATAGTCAAGTGAAATTCAGTAGGCTACATTGATTACTGTGTTACATTTGCTTGCATTTAAAACACAAGTGATTGTGTGATTGCCTGGGCGGTAACTAGCAAAAGCTTGGGAACCCACTGATTTATGACATAGCATTGTATGTTTTCTTAATTTTAGAACCTCACAAATAACATTTTAAAAGAAAAATAAGTAATTAAACAAAGAAGCTGTATGAAAATGCATATTCTCTTATTGTCAAAGGGTGTAGGGGGCTAGGCAACCTCTGGCAGGCCAAATCATGTAATAATAATTTTAATTATAATGATTAAATAAATTATTATTATAAAATAATAATTTTCTTGGTTTAATTGGTAAGGACTGTTATTTGTTTTTGTTGTTTTTTCCAGTTCATGTTTTTGTTTTTATTTCATCTTGAAAAACTGTAGTTTTTTTCCATTGATATTCTTAGTTTTAATGCTAGTCTTATGATATTGTATTAACCCTGCTATATTCTCTGCTCTGTTGGGTTGCAGGCGATTCAGAACCAGTTGGGTGAAGAGCTGCTGCAGGATCTTATTAACTTCTGTCTCAGATATATGGGTCTGATCAAACTGCCCAAGAAACGGTGAGACATCTGTGTTCACTTTGCTTTGTTTTGCAGTGATTCAGCATGCCATGCTGGCCAAACACCATCTAAAAGACTGCACTGAACACTGAATTGTCAATATATTAAGTACACATCTTGTACCTACACAGTGGCCATTATATTAGAAACACCTACCATATAGGTGCACTTTGTGGGTGCATAGTTACAGACTGTTTTACTGGAGTTTTTGCACACTGTGTACTGTATACATACTGGACTTTTGACAGCAGTCTTGCATCCTATGGTTTATATGTTGCAGAACAGATAAAGAGTAGAACTTTTGTCTTTAATGCAGTACATATACATATAGTACATAGTCTTCTGGCTGGTAATCGTGTTCTACCATATTTACTCCAAAGTAAAGGAATAATTGTACTGCATAGCTGCATGTGTTTAAGACATATAGGGTATAGAGTCAGTCCAAGTACTTCTCTGGCAACTTGTAGAATATTTAACACCTTAAACTGTAGGCTAGGCATGTTGTTCAGTTATTGAGCTTAAGACGTATTATTCAGTAACTACTATGTAAGTAATATGTAAGTAATAGTATTTAATATGACAGTGAAGAATTAAGCTTCTAGTGAGAAACCTGTATTGATACTTTTATATAATGAGCTTCAGTTTCACAGCCAAAAAAGATCTGAACTGGGCTTTTATACAGGAATTTAAAAGTTTTACAATGCTGAATGTGTAAAAACTCTAAAGTACAAAAGACTTTTCAGTGGCCGTAGGCGTTGATTTTCTCTGAACTGGGTGTGTCAAAAATGTTCAGGTGACAGAATGCAAATTTCATGAAATTGTTGTTGCCTGCCACTAGATTAACAAAAGTGACGAAGGAGTGGATGTTCTTTTTTTATCTTTGTGGAGCACAACATACAAGCTCTACCTGTCATGGCCTGAATCTGGGTCCTCAAGAGAGACGATTAGTCTGGTCTTCCTCTCCTAGGGGCCTTTTGAGTAGCTGTACTGAGAGTAACCTGCCACTTATGCGAAATGCTAATGACCAGATGGGTGGGGTCTCCCATGTCATCTTCCAAAGCAAACCCTGACACACCCAAACCGTTTTTCAAATAATAGTCATAAAGGAATAGTAAAGAAAACAAGAAACAGTCATGTAATTACTCTCGCTGTCCTGCGCTGGTCAGCGCAGTCACGTTCAAACAGTTTGAGGAGCTGCGGATCAGCAGTGGAGCTCAAACCAAACATGTTTCGAGTCCTCTAGTTCTCATTGCATATGTCACGAGCATTGGCTTTGCTTAGTTCCTTGCATTTTGAATCACATTTTAAATCTGTATCATGTTAAATTTCTCTTTTTCCCCAGAGGCACATTCATTGAGTTTCGCAACGGAATGATTAACATCTCTCCGATTGGACGGAGCTGCACACTTGAAGAGCGAATAGAATTTGCAGAAATCGACAAGGTACACGTGATAAGAAAGTTTCACCCAGACAAGATAAACCACTTTTAATTATGCAATTCAATACAAAGTAAACATATTCTAGTTATAAATGCAAAGCCATGAGGAATTCTTCTTTCATATAACCTGTGTCTTTATCTTTATTTGATCTTTCTATCTGATTTAACTGTTAATTTGATTGACCTTGATGAAAGGTAATCACAGACGTCACAGAGAAAACAAATGGTACACTTCTCTCCAGATGGCCTATTTAAATCAGACAGGTCATTGACGTAAATAAGGCCACAAAAAGTTATTCTTGAATTGCACAATTTCCCCTTGCAGTCTTTCACAGAGTGGTGAACCCCTCCTTATCTTAACTCAGACTCAGCCTCTCTGAGATGCTCTTTTTATACCCAATCATGTTACTAGCCTGTTGTCAATTAACAACCAGGTGTTTTTTTAGCATTACACAACTTTACCAGTCTTTTGTTGTCCCTGTCCCAACGTGTTGCTGGCTTCAAATTCAAAATAGGCATATATTTTTCAAAAAACAATAAAATTTCTCAGTTTCAACATCTGATGTGTTGTTTCTGTACTATTTTCAATTTAATACACAGTTTAAAAGATTTACACATCATTGCATTTTGTTTTTATTTATGTTTTGCACAGCATCCCAACTAGAAACAGGGTTGTAAGTTAACATGTCTTCTACAGAGAACAAACTTAAATATGACAATTTCTGGAAAAATTCTGTACAAATTCTATTTATTTGCTGAACTTAACACATTAAAAAAAATTAAATGTGTCATAACTTTTGTACAGGTCACATTTTGTTTTTTTTTCCCTCTAATATCTTAAATTCAGCAAAGAAATGACGCATTGAAATTTAAAAATGCTGTACTGTAGAGGATGTGTCACTTTTTCACTTAGAAAATCAACAAAACATGTAATTGAACCATAATACTGTATACTACTGATTATAATAGTAGTATAATCCATACTATTATATCATTTCTATCAATAAATAGTGTTATATTATCCTTAAGCCTACTACTCCATCTCCCCTTACACAGAAAGAGAAGATCAGGGAGAAGTTTGTAGCTGCCCTGCAGAAGGAGTTTGCGGGAAAAGGACTGAGGTTCACTCGAGGTGAGTCAACTTGAATGTGGCATGAGAATCACTGTACGGAATACGGCTATTTTCAAAAGTAAAAATCAAAAATCGGCTAAGTGTTCCACTTTTCTGTAAACAATTCCTCCAGTAACATTTGAATATTCAGTATATTTAAAAAAACTGAATTAATGAAATGAAAATCAAATTGAACCATAGTGAATTTTCATGATACTTTGAATCTTATCAGATTTTATGATGCATTCGTAGAATCATAATGTGATCAGATTGTTATTACATGGGAGACTGACACACTAAAGGTCTCTTTGACTGAAAGTTAATGTTCAGTACAATAAAAAATGTAATCTGATTGATTTAAACGTCCTTGTAAACAGATCATCGCTGACCTGCTCTATACTTTATTACTCTGCCCATGCAAAAGATTTCTGAATGTGTCCTTCCTGTGACGAGCAGCTAGCAGCTACATTCTGAAAAACGTATTCTGGAAAAATGCCCTTTCAGTGTGTCTCAGATTATAGTCTCAGCTTTCCTCTCTGTTTTGAGATTGAAATGTTTGTTACACTGTGTTAAAGGTGTTTTTTGAGCACTCAGGTTAAAGTTCTCTCTGCTTTCTGAGCCAGGATGTTTATCTTCACACGGTTAACTCGTCTCTCTCTCCTCTCGTAACTGGAAGTGCGTATGCTGGGGTGTTTTTCTGCTCCCTGTGCATTTAGGCAGTTAATGGTCTGTAAAGTGTTTCCCAGCGTACTCACGTAGCGCTGCTTTTCTCACAGAGCACATCAGTAACTGCACTAGATAGTGTACACGTACATACACACAGTATTTGGAGTCATGTTCCACACACACACACACACACATATATACTGAATATACTATATATATATATATATATATATATATATATATATATATATAGTATATTCAGTAGAGTAGTCTACATATTCAAGGACCTATATATATATATATATATATATATATATGTTTCTTTTATACTATATGGACAAAAGTATTGGGACACCTATACATTACCCTTTAGATGAGAGGGCCTGGCTCGCAATCTCTGTTCTAGTTCATTCTGAAGGTGTTTGATGAGGTTGAGGTCAGGGCTCCTTGCAGGCCAGTCAAGTTCTTTCACACCAAACTCACCCAGCCATGCCTTTATGGACCTATGCTTTGTTAACTGGGCCTCAGTCATGCTGGAACAGAAAAGGGCCCTCCCCAAACTGTTCCCACAAACTCGGAAGGATACAGTTGTCCAAAATGTCTTGGTTTGCTGAAGCATTAAGATTTCCCTTCACTGAAACTAAGGTTTCTAGGCTAGCCCCTGAAAAACAACCCCGTAGCATTATCCCTCCTCCACCAAACTTTACAGTTGGCACAGTGCAGTCAGGCAGGTAGCGTTCTCCTGACATTTGCCAAAGCCAGACTCCATTAGTCCATCAGACTGCCAGATAGAGAAGCATGATTCGTCACTCCACAGAATATGTTTCCGCTGCTCCAGAGTCCAGTGGCAGCGTGATTTACACCACTCCATCTGACACTCGACATTGTGTTTGGTGATGTATGGCCTGCATGCAGCTGCTCAGCCATGGAAACCCATGCCATGAAGCTCTTGGCACACAGCTTTTGTTGCTAGGTTAATCTCAAAGGAGGGCTGGAACTCATTTATTGAGTCAGCACAGCGTTGGTTACTTTTATGCACCTCAGCACTCAGCGATCCTGTAACTTTACATGATCTGACACTTCATGGCTGAGTTGCTGTGATTCCTAAACACTTCCACTTTTCAATAATACACTCACAGTTGATCGTGGAATATCTAGGAGGGAAGAAATTTCGTGAACTGATTTGTTGCGGCGGTGGCGTCCTACTACAGTACCACACTCGAATTCAGTGAGCTTTTTAGAAAAATCAACTCTTTCACAAATGTTTGTAAAGGCAGACTGCATGGCTGTTCCCAAAGGATTTAATGGCGTTATATTCGCCTTCAAACAGACACTGACAATCATATAACAACTACCCAAACACACCTCAGCTGCCTTTAAATTTCTTTCTCATGTGGGATATTTCTGAGGAGATTATATATAAAATAATCCAGTTGCATATAGAGAAAAGTGAAAGGATGGGTCGCTGTGGGTCTGAAAGGATGTGTAGCTGTAAAGAAGCTGCTACTGAGATGAGAAAATTGACAAAAAAAGAACATTGTTTGCACTAGAACACCAAAACTGCACATCTGGCATCGAGTCAGGTTTTATGGACTGATGATGCAACCAACTTCTAAGACTGAACTTTGGAGGTGTAGAAAATTTCTGCAGATTTATTTGAAAAACTGAAAGCAAGTTTCCTGAAAAGGATAGAAGCTGTAATAAAGGTGGACACACTAAATACTGAAAATCTATATGATATTTAGTGGTTAAAGCTTCTGTGTAGTTTATAGAAGTAGTTTGTTGAATATTTGTCTCTTGCTTTTTTCCTGAACACTACTTGTACTTAAATGACTGTTTTGACTGGAAGTGAAATAAATGAAAGGGTGGTCTCTGACTTTTGCACAATACTGTAGCCTGTGTCCTGAAATTGTTGTTGAACTGTTATAGATGATAACAGACAGCTGTATAATGTGGGACATGTAGGATATAAACATGTTAGAGTCCAGTGACCCTGAAGCATAAGAGCGTCTATGTGTACGGGGCAAAGGTACGCAATTAATACAAGCATATACACACAGAAAGGATGAATGGGCAGAGTGGTGATCACTGGTTTATGTTCTAACCGGATGGATTATGCAAAAGCAACACTTAAAGAGATATGACAGCAATAAAAATGCAGGCAAACACACACGCTGTGCAGAAGCAGCTGTGTGTCAATGAGTTCTTTGGATCACCGTGTAATCACAGGTTTAAAAACACCCTTCCTTACATTAGCTTGAGGAAAACAATGTGTGGGTGTGCACACGTACTCACAGAGCTGTTGTTTGGACTTACACTCTCTCAAGTGACACGCTTACAAAAGGAGCAAACTTTGAACACAGAGCCTTAAAGAATTTCTCCAGCTTTTTCAGGCAGATCTGCTGCATTTACATCATACTGTTGATTATCATGGGAAAAACCCACCCACTGGCTTCTATTATAAATGTTTTGAGTTACATTTATAATGTGTCTTCTACAAACCTCAATTCCAAAAGATGTTGAGACAGTACTTACAAAAACCGAAAGCAGTACAAAAACCATATTCCAGAAAAAGAAGCATGTTTACAACTGTTTATTTGGGACTGAGGACACCAAATGATCCATTTTTGGAAAACTATAATTTTCTTCCTCTATTACGCAAGTCCTCCATTATGCTGCCGAAGCATCTTATTCATGGGTGCTAAAACCCCCTCCCCATACCACGATAGATCCTGGCTTTTGAACTTTACGCTGGTAACAATCTAGATGGTCCTTTTGTTCTTTGGCCCCGAGAACACAACGTCCATTATTTCCATAAACAGTCTGAACGGTTGACTCGTCAGACCACAGTACGTTTCCACTGTGCATGCGTGCATTTCAGATTGTGGAGGCAGTGACAAACAGTGTTCATTAATAACAGTTTGTCATGGAATTTCCGAGTCCATGTGGTGATTTCCATTACAGAAGCATGCCGGTTTTTGAAGGGGGGGTGTTTTGAGGGATTGAAGATCTTTGGGCATTCACTTGTGGGTTTTGGCTTGGTCATGTACACACAGATATTTCTCTGGATTGCCTGAATCTTTTGATGACATTGTGCACCGTAGAGAGTGAAATACCCCAAATCCTTGTAATCACACACTGAGGAATGTTGTTCTTAACGCTTAAGTTAGATTCAGACGTTTAAGTTGGATATGTTGGATGGCTGGATTGTCCACTTACACAGTTTTTGGCAAACTAGCGAGTCTCTGAAAAGTTTAAGCCTTTCCTGGATGCGTCTTTTATACTAAAGGGCTGCATCACCTGTTTAGGACATTTTCAGTCATTACACAGTGTTCCTTGTCTTAAATTTGCAACACAACTTTTTGGAATATATTGCAGGTATCAATTTCAGAATGAACATATTTTTTTTACAAAAACAATGAAGTTTTTACGGTAAAACATTAAATGTCTTAGTTTAAAAACAGGTCAAAGTGGATTTACAAATAATTGTTTTCTGTATTTATGTGCATTTCACACACACATTGTAGGTTTTTGGAATATAGGTTTGTAAGCAGAGAAAACAGAATGACACATTTTTGAGTGTCCTCAACAACTCAGCACTTTTCTCCAATTACAACATACACACACACACGCACATGCACACACGCACACACACACACACACACACAGAGGCACACACAATCCTGGACTTTGTTTTTTTTTCTCTGTCTCTCTTTTTTTCTTTGGTGGGATCAGTATGAGACTATAGGGGAGTGTCTAGGGGGTGTGTGTGGAAATGGCGCAATCTGATTGGCTGAGGTTTCACCAGCTGTTGGTTCAGCAGTAATGCACTGATGCAATAAGGTCAGTTAGAAGAAGGTAATTCCACAACAGACTGTGTGTGTGTTTGTACTAGAGCTGCATGATGTGGGCAAAATGCTGCAGAATGATTGTTGCTATAATGCTACACAATACAATTGCAGTAAGCTTTGCAATACATTAAATGCATTAGTGAATCAGTATTAAGGATAAATATATTTACCATCATTGGATAAAGTGAACTGCTTGTGATTGGTCAGAATGCTCAAGGCACATACAAAATAACACTGTCATTAGTTAGAAGGCTCATTTGCATATTGCAGCCATCTACAGTATCAGTATAGCAAATTCTTATATTGTGATAATGATCAACAAATTATATATTGTGCGACATTAGTGTTTGTATGTGTGTACTGAATTTTTGTGAGGGGGGGCCGGGGGGTGAGTTATTAACCTCTCCTTAAATTCAGTTCATCTTTAACTGGCACAGTAGGGCAACCATACAGGCTGAAGAATGCGGCACGTAGCGCACGGAAAAGAGCAACTGAGGAAGTGAGAGAGAGAGGGAGGGAGGAGGTGGAGAAGAAAAAAAGACTCCAGGCACCTCCCTCTGTTCTCTCTCTTTGTTCAGCAGTGTATAGATGTGTGTAATCATAAAGCTAACTGGTTATTGGCCCACCGTCTGTCAAAAGGTTGGGGGGAGTGTCGCCTAGCTTTACGAAAGATGCTGCAGGTGAATAGGGTCATTTTTTTAAAACAGCATATATCACAATGGCTCTCTGACAGCTGATGACTGATATTCTTACAAGTATTTTTTTTGTAAATGCAAATATGCATTTTTAAAAAACTAAAAATCTAGCCTTGATGTTAGAATTAAGAATGAATTGTAAATATGGAATTAATTAAGCTTAAAATGTTTATTTTTATTATTAATAAAAAATATTAATCTAGAGACACACTCTAGTTTAAGGATTTTATAGAACAGATTATTGAAATATCATTCTTTTATTGTTTAATCAAGAAAAGCTGATTTTGAGAAAAACTGTTTTAAGAATGGGCCTCAGAACTGAGAACCCAGTAGGATCTCAGAAAACATGCACCCCTTGTGTGATTGTTGTCATTAGTAGTTATATTGTACAGGAAAAAAGCTTCCAGTGATTTATGACACAACATGGTTGTGAGTGCCAGGTGTGGTGGTGCTAAGCCTTCATTAAAGTTGCAAACTTTTGGAAAATACAGGTAGATCGGAGTGGACATGATTTTAATACGCTAAAATGAACATACTTCTGTTGAGTGTTTTAAGATTACAGTTTCAGAAAAGATGTTATAGATGCAAAATATCCAAAAATCTAAGAAACGGTGACTGAACCAGAATCATCATTTCTGGCCTTCATACAAATCAGCATTTTCTTGTCAGTTTGCAGTATCTCAACATTCTGAAGAAGACAGTATAAAGTTTTCGACAGTATTTACGACACACAAAAAACAAAGCATTTTTAACCCTCAATTGAGATGTCAGCATTCAAACCTTTCCGTTGTTTAAACCACCTTTCAATATGACCTTTTAACCATAGTTTGGAAAAGAAATCTCTCAAATTATTATTTAGGCAAAACCTGCTCTTTCTTTTAAGGAAGGCAGTTTGATGAACATGATGCTGAGCGTTGAAGCTAAATATACCCCCAAAGTAGTAACACATATCTGCTTTCTGATTAACTGAGAAGAAAAAAACTTTTGATGAGATGGTTGTGCTTTCTGAGAGTGAAGGACAAAAACTGTAGCTTAATGCCAGTTCAAAAGCATCATATACTGCTGCGAGGCAACAGGACCTGCTTTTAACCTCACTAATAAAATGACCAAGAGAAAGGGAGATTGATGGGGAGAGGGAGAGAGAGCTTAATGCACAAAAGCCTGCCAGGACACGCACACACTCGTGCACTTACACACACTCACACAGCTACACACCACACAAGGCGGGTGGTGTCCAAGCCATCAGAGCGCACTCAGTGAACCAGGTGTAAGTAAATGGTGACAGGCCAAATGGTAGCCATAGGGTCATTTGCCATCTAGCAACGCACAGAGTTTGTGCAGCAGTGTTAAAAAAACATGTTGCTAAGAACACAAAATATCAATGTAATTAGAAGCTGTACAATTTCTATATATGCTACAAAATAGCTGTCTGACAGTGTAAAAGAAATACTGTAGCCAAATGCTTGTTCAAAAACATCCCACAACAGGTAAACAGATAAACATGACAGATAAAGTGTTCAGTGTTAGTTTAGTGTGAACCATTTTAGCATTTCAGATGAAGTGTTTCTTTAGAATAATTTTGCGTTTCCTTGGAAATTCTGTGAATTTTGCAAGGAACGCTAAGTCACTGCAGTTCCATTTTAGGGGTTATGTGGTCCTTTTTGAGGTTTTATTTTTTGCAAAGAAAATGGCACTAGACACCAAGGTGTCCTCAAACATTTAATGAGCAGTACATGTGTTAAAAGACTGTTCTTTTCCCAGCATTCCTGAGCTCTTGTCCCTGACCACCCCTCTGTAATTGCTGTGTAAAACATTTGGCATTTTAATTGTGTGGTGGAGCCCCAAACTGTTTAACTGTGCTTGAAGAGGCGATGGTGGTTTGACTGCAGCTCAGGAGTCCTGACATGAGAAAAATCTCTACAAGTACTTACTCGTGTCTTGTACTGTGCGTTTAGGAGCGTGTCATTGCCTGTCACAGACAGAACTGTGGCTGATGTATAAAAGGAGATGACTGTGGGTCATGTGCTCAGTCAGATGCCGCAGACGGAGAGAAGGAGACATTTTGTTATGAAATCTGCAGATTCAAGAGTGATAAGCATGCTTTGAACTGCAGTATTAATATACTCTGTACATATTGAACAAGCAGTCCATGTTACAGTGCTGAAACCAGATATCACGGTCATTAAAGTCTCTGTTCTGTCGTTCTGTTTTTCTGTCTTTCTCTTTTTTTTCTTGATCTGTAGGGGGATTGATCAGTTTTGACGTATTTCCTGAAGGATGGGATAAGCGTTTGTGTCTGGAACTCCTGGAGAGAGAAGGATTAGATGCCATCTATTTCTTCGGAAACGAGACTTCACTGGTGAGTTTTTTTCTCTTTTATGATGTGTTTGTCTGTGAATTGGGGGTGGCTGCAGACATTTGGACCCTGCTGTACTGCTGATGGTATTGTGGTAAGAAGGTTAAAGCTCAGGTGCCGCTGCTTTGTTGCTCTCTCTAAATGACTTTAATGGCTAAAAAGGTGTCTTGTGTAGGTGTGAGAGAAAGACAGCATAACAACAAAGTTCAAAGTAAGCTAAAGTGTTTTGAATAGCAGTGACAGTGATGATATTGCCATAGATAGATGCAGTTGTATGAAAACATTTGGACATCCCTGGTCAAATGACTTATTTTGTTGATTTTCTAAGTGAAAATAAGTTAACACGTCCTCTACAGAGAACACACTTAAATATGGCATTTGTCTGCTAATCTTACTGGACAAATTCTATATATTTGCTGAATTTAACATACTGGAAAAAATACATTAAACAAAATATAAATTGTGCCAGAACTTTTGCACAGGCCACAATTTGTTTTTTTTTCCAGTGTGTTAAATTCACAAAATCAAATACGTAATTTGACTGGGTGCCAAATTTTTGTTAAAATGCTGTAAAAATGCACAAATTCATTGATCTGAAAGTGGTGATTCTGCTGCGTTAGTGGTGATTCATGTAATGTCAGAATGTTAGACCTGACTACAACAATATTTGAGAAAGTATGCGCTCATTTTTGTCCAAAATAAAATTCTTTGGCTGTTTTCAAACATAAAATCCAAAAGAGGTCATGTATTATTTTATCTGTCTTTATACAGAAGTTCTGAGCTCGTTGAAAAGCGTTTTATCTAAACAACACATTTCCTCCCAAATAACTGCATCACTCCACTGAGCACTGGGTGTGAAGCTGCTATTGTTAACTATGTTTCTACTTTAGCACATCTAAAAACAGAAAGTGGACACCTTAGATACATTCTATAAGACCAGACCTGCAGCCCGGTTGGTCAGACTCTGAAGAACAGAGTGACAGCAGGACTACATCAAAATCCAAACACAATCGCCCCCTAAGCAAGCTAGTAACACAAAAAGCTACTACTTTCTTTGGCAGATAGAACTACAGATACTACAGCATGTTTGATAGTGTTCTGGAATTCTTTACTTTTTTTTTGCAGAACTGATGTGCAAAAGCAACAGAACCCTGGAGGTCGTGTGTTACCACAAACAGCATCATGACTGTCATGATCAGTGGCAGCCAAATCACAGCCATGATGTCAACTGTGATAACACACTCCCTGTCAGGTTCTGTTGCTTAAATAATCCTCTGCAGTGTAAATAGTGTCTTGAGTCACATCTTATTTAACCGTTAATGTAGTTTAATTCAGTTTTATTTAACCATTAGAAACCCCTTATTTACAGTGACAGCCTGGCACAATCATATCTGTGAGTTTTTTTTTTTTTTTGAGTGTATTTTTAAAATGTTTGAATGAACAATGCAGAAATTAATCAAAGTTTGCTACTCACAACTAACATCTACTAAATGTGTACCAAGCCTCGCAAAAAATAGATCTGAGAACATTTACAATCAATAATTGTTGATTTGCAAAAGGCTGGAAAGGGTTACATAGTCATCTTAAAGAGTTTAGGTACAGTCTACTGTTAAGACAAATCAATTGTCCATAAATGGACGATTTAGTACTGTGTCTACTCTCCCTAGAAGTGAGCTCCTAGCCCAAATCACTTCAAATGTAACAATGCAGAGTAATCAATGAAGTAAAAAGAACACTAGAGTAACAGCTAAAGGCTTGAAGGAATCATTGGAACAGGTTAACATCTCTGTTCATGAGTCTACTACGGTAAAAACAGTGAACAGCCATGGTGTCTATAGCAGGACACCATGCTCTCCAAAACATATCGCTGCATGTCTGAAGTTTGCCAAAGAGTATCTTGACACTCCAAAACACTACTGGGAAAATGTTTCATGGACTGATGAAACTAAGGTTGAATTGTTTGGGAAGAACACACAGCACTACATATGACATAAAAAGGGCACCAACATACCATCATCATCCCAGTGGTTAAGTACGGTGGTGGGAGCATCATGATTTAGGGCTGCTTTGCTGCTTCTGGGTCTGGACTGATTGCCATCATTGAGGGACAAATGAATCCCCAAATTTATGGTATCCTCCTACAGGATCATGTCAAGGTGTCTGTCCACCAGCTAAAGCTCAGTAGAAGGACAATGACCCTAAACATCAAACTAAATGTACTACAGAATGGGTTAAAGAAAGTAAAATTCGCCTTCTGGAGTGGCCCAATCAGAGCCCAGACCTTAACAGAATAGAGATGCTGCAGAGTGACCTCAAGAGAGCCATTCACACCAGACATCCGAAGAATATGGCCACGCTGAAGCAGTTCTGTAAGAAAGAACGGTCCAGTATTAAAGGTTGTCCAGTCTGATCCGCAGCTACCGGAAGCGCTTGCTTGAGGTCATTGCTTCCAAAGGTGGTTCGACCATTTGTTAAATCCAGGGGTTTACTTATTTTTTCCACCAGCCCTGTGAATGTTTCATTGGTGTGCACACATGAGACATGAAAGATTTAAATTGGTTTTATTAACAGCTTTAGTGCAGTGTGTTTTCAATGCTTGTGACTTTTATGACTGATTTTATGGCCAATTAATGCAGAAGGGTAGATAATTCCAAAGGTTCACATACATTTTCTAGCCACTGTAGATTAGGGGTGGCCAATCTTGGTCCTGGAGATCTATCACCTTGGAGAGTTCAGATCCAACACATAGTACACCTAAAGGCCTTTCTTACCTGGAGATTTGGGTTGGAGCTAAACTCTGCAGGGTGGTAGATGTCCAGGACCAGAAATGAGCACCCCTGCTGTAGACAGACAGACAGACAGACAGATAGATGTGTAACATCTCCTCCTTTTGCATTGAAAACAGGGTGGAAACGATTACGAAATTTTCGAGGATCCACGGACCATCGGCTTCACTGTTTACTCCCCCGAGGACACAGCGCGGCTGTGCAGAGAACTGTTCTTCAATACGCCGCCCAACGAGGCTTGACAATGCATCCCCTCATGCAAGTACAGAGATATCAGCAGCACCAGTCTGCGTGTAACTGACTCCCCCTGCTGTCCTGTGCTAGTACTACACCAAGCACAGCACTCTGTGGTATATGGACAAGTACGGATGATAAACAGGTTAACTAGTGTGGAAGAAACCCAGTCACTACCAGTAAACAAATTAACATGTCTGAGATAGAACTTTTTAAACTTGCAGACTACATGAGCCCCAGCATATACTTGGTCAACAACCAGCACATTGCTTGTGATACCAAAACTAACCCTAAGATTTCACTCCTCAGACTGATCAAAGGGACTGTTTTAATGGTAAAAAAAAAGAAATGTTTAATGTGACATTACATGTGATGTTTTCTAAGGCATGGTCAGTGATCTGTGATCTGTCTTGCCTGATTCTGTGAGCTTTCAGCTTGAATTTTGTTCTGATTGTATTTTCCATTGCACACTCCCAGTCACAGCAGACTGATGATCAGTACTTGGATCCTTTAAGTGCACTCGGCCAGCGGTACAAAGTGCACTGATAATGCAGAAGAACAGATATTGAGAAACAGCCAGAGTCTCTGGCCTCATCCCAGGCCACCTGCAGACCCAGAGAACTAGCAGCAGTCCTTTATCATGGGTTAAATATTGACATTTTGGCATTCCTTGAAAGAATATGATTATTTAGTAAAGGAACAATGAATAAGTCAATGGTTGTGAAAATCCATTATTTATTATACTTAGTTTAGATTTAGTAATCCTAGCACTAACGTTTAAAACCATGGCAGGCCCTGAAACTGCAGGTCTAGGACTGCTGTGTGCTCTCTTGGGTGGATGAAACTGAGGCTGTATCCAAATCATTATTTTAAACTTTCTGTAGTATCTGTGTTCCTTGATTGTGCTTGGTCTGGTAGCCATGACGCACCACATGCTGGTCAGTCCAGCCCAAGCTTTCTTGTGTCCTATAAAGCGGACCTAGTATGCCACCTACTGGCTGGACCATAAGTGTGCAGCAAGTCTGCTATGAAGTCTACTACTGTGTCTAAGGGCCTTAGTGGAAGCAGGTAGAGGCTACACCCTCAATCAGAACCTGTATTCACCAAGGATCACCGTATAGGAGTACTAATCTCGGACTGAATTGTTCCTGGTTTGTCTTGTTCTTAGTCATTATGAGCTACTAAGCTAAACTGATCCAGAATCAGCACTCCTCACAGCTGCTGTGAGCACATGTGAAAAGTGCCATTTTAAGTGTTGTTCTTGACTAAAAATTATGTTGAAGGGACAGTATCTATTGTCAGTGAGCTTTTTTTCTGACACTAAGCCTAATCTATGTATGGAAAATGGAGCTAACCATTCAACCTTATCAATGCACAACTGGCTGTAAAGACCATATCATTCATAGCTGTTTTTGTTTAGATAGCAGAAGATAACTGTTCGAACTGAATGAGATTAATCAGTTTCAACACAGTATCTGCATGCAAATGGCTGTTTTGGCAGACTGTTAAAGGGGAATTCCAACTTTGTAAACATTCCACATAAACTGTTATGATGTAAACAAAGTCATTCGGAGTGACTTGATGCAAAATGCTTCATTTTACTGAATCTTAACGACTTGAAATTGTTTACAGTGGTGGTGATGGGAACCAGACGTCTGAAGAGTTTAATTAAGTCCCTCACAGAGAGATATTACACAGAATAGTTTCACTGGTTTCAATAGTTTACACAAAAAAGGATGTTTGAGACATTGTTTTACGTTGTTTTGTTAATGGTGGAAAGGTAGATCATCTTAAAGGCAAAATAGTCCCCAAAGAAAACTTTATCAACATTACATATAAAACTCAGACAAGTGTTGGTACACTGGTGTTTTTGGATAGTAAATAAATTGGGTACACTTATATATATTGTAGACATCATAACTTCTGGTTCCTATCAACACCACTGTAAAGAAAATATGTTTCTGTAATTTTCTCTACAATGAACTGTCAAATCAGACCACTCTGAAAGTCTTTGTTGACATTGAAATGCTTGAATTACATAGAAATCTTTAAAAAATCAGTGAAAAATTCCCCTTTAAGCTTCAGAGACTGAGCATGTACATACTGAACGTGTAAAAGGGAACAGTCAAATTTGAATGTATTCTAATAGGCAGCATGAGCTGTAGCTGTCATCATTAATTTACATTCATGCCTGAAAGTGGTTGCCTGTGAATCTAAATCACTACGTATGAATGGCTCAGTCATTTTTATTGCAAATTGTTCTTCTTACTGACTTGCCTTTGTGATTGGAATGGTCAAGTTCTGCATCAGGATAATCCTGAAGCCTGTATATAGTCATTATTGATGATATTGTTTATTTTCAACACACACTGACACATCCAAACTCATGTGGGATGGAGCATGAAGCGACAAGATTTTTCTCCATCTTGGATTATTTTTCTACCCTTTAACATAAACACAGCATTCAAACACTCCTGTTATGGGTTACAAGAAATAATGTGATATTTCTTTCATGGTACATTTCCTGTGTGTAAAAGATCAGAAACGTCTGTGATTTTTTTTCAACAGTACATTTGTCACTGCAGTGTTCATCTGTTTTAATAAATCATTTTCATAAATCAAGGCTGGGTGTTTTTATGGGAAACTGTAATAGGGACTAAGATAATACAAAGAAGGCTAATAGTGACTAATTAGCTTTACACTAATGATCATTTTAACTAGAGCAGCCTCCCTCATGCAGGGTAACATAACAAAGAGGGTATGTTTCAAATCTTTTTTTTTCCCCAACATGCTCTCACCAACTTCAACTCATCACTTTAGAAGTGCATAACACCTAGCTTTTATGTTACACAAGTGCTCACTTGCAGTACAATGCTAGGACAGGAAAGTAAGCAGTGGATTTTTTAGTAGGATCAGAGCCCCTGGCCGTTAGCCAAAGTGAGCTAATTGGCTAACTTGTAATGCAGTTTTTAGCTGTCTGAACACAACTTACATAAGTTTTGTGGATAACTGCTTTGTTTGGCTGTAAACTTTGCTGTAGAACTGTATTGCCTGCCGTTTTTGTTGTTGCTAGCTGTGTAACTCTAGCTTGCTAACTAGCAAGCTAGCATAGTAGTGAAATACCAGCAGTTGTATGACAGATTGAGTAGTTTGCTACCTAAAACCCAGTCTGAACATAGCAAATTGAATGTTATGGTTTTGGAATATTAAGGATTTCAAGTATTTTACAGCTATAGCTGATAAACTAGAGCCAGTTTATGAGGAGCCTGGCTTCTTCCTATTTCCCCCGTTGTATGAAAAATGCAAAAATGCCCGCGAGTGAGTCCTCCATGAATGGGGACGAATGGAGCTAAATGGCTAAAAACAAAAGGTTAAAATACTTTCTAACCACTCGCCCAGAACTTGGTTTTACAGCATCATCTTCAATATTTAACAGCCGTCAGACATTTCTAAAGATTCACTCTGATGACTTTTTTGTAACGTGAAAGTAGGTTTTTCATCATGTTTTTGAATTACTGAGCTGTTTGTTTAAACTTTCAAATTCACACCTATATTATTTCATTTGCCTTCTTGTTGTATGTAATGTAGCACCATTTTTAACTATGTAAATAACTCAGTGAGAACTAGCCTGGCTAAAGTACAGCTTCCACATGGTGGAGTTAGTTTCACACAGTATTACTACCTGTAACACTCAAAATAAACAAAACAGTTCATATTTGGATGGATTATGCACAGATTGATCAAAAGGACTACAGATGTCATGTAAATAAAATATTTCAATTTTATCACGTTGATATTTGCTTTTCTACTTTGTGGCTAGAAAATAAAATTGCCATGTTTGGTACAACCTCTTTTTCACTAATACTATATAAAGCATTCATCTTTGAGAGAGAGGAGAAAATCAAGCTCCACTCTTGCTTCAGATCTGAAAAAATCCCGTGTTTCTGTCCATCCTTCCACTGTGAGTAGACAACTGAACTTCCCATGCTGATGTGTAGCTCTCAAGAAGCTCTTACTGAGAAAACAGACCAAAAAGAACTTCTGCACTAAAACACCTGAACTGTACATCTGAGATGTGGAGTGAAGTTTCACAGACTGATGAGTCTACATTTGTATTTGGGATTACTTGGATCACAAGAAACAGAAGATGCAACAAACTTCTAAAACTGAACTTTGTGGGAAAATATCCCTGCAGATTTCTTTGAAATCAAGTCTCTCAAACAGAATGGAAGAAGTAATAAAGGCAAACGGATAGTTTATTTTTTTTATATGTGGAGATGTGTACGTTTGTTACACAAAATGAATCTTGCTTGAATACTAATTAAAAAAATATTTGGCAAAGACCAAAATGTGTTGTTATTGTTTCCTGCTCTCTCCTCTACTATTCATGCTACTGGCAGTTTAGCCTTTCTGGGTGGACTGTTCTTGAGTGCAGCTGGTCAACTATACTTCAGTATTTACCAAGTGCATTTTAGTGCTTTCCTGCTCAAATACACCATCAGCTCATTTTTAAGCTCTTAATGATGCTTAAGTATATGACCACTAAAATGCATATTAGCATTTGGAAACACTGCTGTAATTCATTACCACTGAAAACAGACTGTGTGCCACAGGGTGGGTGACTAGTAGAATTTTTTAATTTTTATTACTCTGTCAAAGATTACATGGAAATGACGCTTACACCAGCCACAGTGATCTGACCGGAGAAAAAGTGCTCTGAAACATGAAGGGAAAAAAAAACAGTTGTCAACTGAGTACTTGTTGTACCAGACCATAACCAAATAAATACAAAAATAAACAAACCGAAGCATAGAAAAGATGCATAGAAACCTTGTTTGAGAAATTACTTGATGAATCTTGACTACATGCAATGGTAGGTTTAACCATACACTGAACAGCATGTGCCTAACAAAAATAAAAAATCTAATACGTAAACTACTCCCAACACTTTGAGTTTCTACCACATTATGAATAAGCCAAAATACCGTAAATACAACAGAAAATAGCACAAGACATTGTAAGGACTTCAATAGAAGTAGAGTGTTCAGTAGAAGTATTTTGCTAGGCCAACTGCTGCTTCTAAATTGGACTACAAAATGCTGCTTGGTTTTACCCTGAATCGCTCCCACTGGAATTCTGGGAGTTGTAGTCAGTTTGGCAGTATGTCTTTTTTGGGGTTTCAAGTTTTAAGTGCAACATTAGTCTGTGGTGCTTGAATTCCAGCATAATTTGCAGAATTCGGAATGAAAACCCCCCTAATACTACAAACTGACAAAAAAAACCCTAACCAACCAATCAATAAATAAACAAACATACATCTAAATAAATACATAAAGGCCAACAGCTGAAAGAAGGGGTTTCGATCATACATGTGTAGCTCAGGAAAATTGCTTTTTTTTTCTTTCACAGTTCAGTAAGTCTACTTAGTATGACCATGTTTCCCTTCTTCTTCTCTCTTTTCTTCTTTCTGTTCATACTCATCGACTAGGACCTAACCTGTACCTCGAAACAATCACATCACATTACTTCCCACCCCTATTCTAACTCTCCTTTAATTATAATTCCGTTGCTTCCTTTTTGAACTTTGTTCTCACTTTAACATAAAAAACAAAAAAAACAGCTTTCTTCCTCCACAGCCGATTACATTCACAATCCGCCTCTTTCTCACTTCCATCCCCTCTCTTCACCTGCAGTGTCCCTATATGAAAAACACCCAGACCCACCCAGCCCTTCCCCCTCCCCCGATCCACCCTGTGTGTAAGCAGTAGGCCTGAGCCTGAAGTCTAGGAGCTGATGATCTGGCCCGACCATGTCTCGTGCTTCGTTCCTGGGTTCAGATGAGTGATGATCACCTCCACAGCCTGGAACTTCTGGTTTTTGGGTGGGATGGGGCACACTTTATACGTCACCTCATCGCCCTCCACAGGCACGTATTCCCCTTCGATACTGGAGGAAACAGCATTGTGACATGTTAAAACAAACTGTTTGTGATTCTCCATCAAAAGCTCCTTCTAGAGGTGTTAATTTTTCCAAAAACATTCAATTCGATTTGCCTTTTGATTTTATAGCCACAATTCAGTTCAATTTTTGATTTTCTAGATGAAATGGCCTACATTCTAGACCTGTGCTGCCAATGACATACACTCGTCATGCCCACACAATCAAGTTTAAAATTAATGCACTCATTTTTTTTAAATTAATATTAATAGGGATGCAAAATGATCACAATCATCTCAGTCTTTACAAATTACTGCTTTCAAAAAAAGCTGCATTAGACAGATTATTAGATTTGACCAATATTTCAAACCGATATTTGTTAATATATTTCTTGTACTCTGGAGGAGCAGAAAGTTAAGGTGGCGCTGGGCCGCTAAGCTAAAATGTCTGCATTATATTCAGTCTCAAATAATGTATGTCACTGCATACGTATAAGCGTGTAACACTATGAGTTGCAAATCAAAAACAGAAATATTTTGATTAAAAAACTTAATATCTAACTAACTAAAATACTGTTTGTGGATTCTATCAGAATTCATATCAGGGAAACTCAGAGTGACCAGCAGAGGCAGCTGTGGAGTCTAGAAGAGGGGGAATTTACAGCACTGGTCACTACACGTGCTCATAGACATGCTTCAGTGCACCAGCTAAAAACAGGTCACAAAATTATCGGTTGCAATTATCGACCATCATTTATATCTGACTGATAATATAATTAAGTCTTTCCCATAGTTAAGTATTATAGACACATAATATATCAGCTGCCAATATATCATGGATCCCTAATTAAAAATTTTACACACCTAAAATGGCTCAGTTTACACCTGCCATTAACACCCTTTGTGAATGATCTGCTTACAACTGGAATTTTCAGAGTCACTTCACGCAATTCAAGTCTAAAGTCTTTGATAAAGAAAATGTACAGTGAGTCCTTCATGTAAATATATGGGCTGTTACAAACATTTAGACTGCAGGAAAGAAAAAAAAAAAAACTATGCAGCTGCTTTTGTTGCTGTCCTTCAAGACACTTTAGCATCAGAGGCAATGAGGAGGAGACGGGTTATGGCTGAATTATAAATGGGAAAGTTCGTAACACTCAACATGGCATCTGTTTACGGATTAAGTCCCACCCATCAAGAAAAAGAGCTAGTCCGCTTGCTGGTAACACTATGAGCAGGGACAGTTACCCCCACCCACTCGTTTTGGAGATCAGCGTAAATGCAGGAGCCAGAACAACCTAAAAAAACATGGTTTTTGTGCTTTACTGAGCCAAATGATACAAACTATTTTTGAGGTTTTTTGTCAGATTTAACCATTGATTAGGTCTCCTTCCATTCTAAGAGACAGGAGCCTGGTCTTGTATGGCTGGAAATAACTGCCTGGCCGTGTGACAAAGATGGCTGCAGAGTGAACAGACTTTCCTATGAGGACTTTGTTAGCATTCACTAATAAAGCTGGTTTGAGTGGCCAGATCATAACAGTCTTTGGAAAAACATTTAATCCTGTTCACACCTGTATTTAGTGCTCTCCATTTACAATGAGATCACCTAAGACGTGTGTTAATGCCAGGTATAAACAGAGTCCTGAGTGTCAAGGACTTCAGCCTTTACAAAAGCTCAATTCAGAAATCTAAATGCGATCTGAAACAAACTGCCAACACAGTTCCACCTGAATAGGTTAAGGGGAACTGAAATTATCTGAAAGAAAATTACGAAGTGAGAAGTCCCCAGCAGAATGCAAAATTTTCTCTAAATCAAGAGATAGGAATTATCTACACCAGCACACAGGTAGACTGACAGTATAGTTTTTGCACTGAGGAGCAGTAACTCACTCTGAGATGTGGACAAAGATGTCTTCTCCACCATTGGCCGGGCTGATGTAGCCGTGACCCTGTGACCTCGAGAAGTTCTTGCACACACCCTTGAACACAGGACCTGAGGTCGCCCGCACTGTGCTGGAGACAGAGGAGAGGGCATAAGAGTTTTAGAAGCAATGTTTTTTACTGTAATTAGCAACGCATTGATAACAATATTTATATATAGGACCCTTTACGATCACTGAAAGCTAGTGATTTTAAGGTCACTAGGCGAGGACTGCCACAATCATGAAACTTTAGCTGACAATTAATTGTCATATAAAGTATTGTCTTTTCTTGTTCATTGTTCGCAACTATTAAAATGTAAGTCTAAAGTGGCCAAAATTGACTGATGAGCTACCAAGCTTACTATCTATGTTTATTTAGTAGCCAACACTGGTTGTGATGTCGAATCAATACTGCACTTACACTCACATACATGTCTACAGCTACACAGAATTAGAGTAAAGAATTAAGCGAAGCTACATTTTCTTTCCAGAGTGAAAATAAATACAAGAAAACTCTGCTAGCATTCATACTAAAAAGGTTAGCATTAGCTGCACAGCTAACAAATAAACATACATTACTCAGCATTCCCTTCTAAACATGTTAGAGCACCAAATTAGATGTTAGTATTTTATTTTCATAAGAATTAATAGATTTTCATTAGAATGAATGCATTGCTGCCTTCTTTTATTTATGTTTATATGGCTGAACCCAGGGCGGTACAGTGGCACAGTGGGTAGCACTGTTGCCTCACAGCAAGACAGTCCTGGATTCGATTCCCGGCCAGGTGACCAGGGTCCTTTCTGAGTGGAGTTTGTATGTTCTCCCTGTGTCTGCATGGGTTTCCTCCCACAGTCTGAACACATGCAGCCAGGCTAAATGGCCACCTAGGTGTGAATGTGTATGTCTGCTCTGCCTGTCTGTCTACTGGTGACCTGTCCAGGGTGTTTCCTGCCCAATGAATGAGCTCCAGTTTCCACCGTGACCCAGAAGGATAAGTGGCTTAGAAATTGTGTGTGTGTTTGTCTGAACCCAACATACCAAATTTATTCACTTAAAACATTTTGTTTGTTGCAGCATATAACTGAAATCTAATGTGGAGAACAACTGCATTTAGCGTAAATAACTGCAATCATCTCAAATGACTGCAAGTAAGCGATTATCTAATGTGATGTGATGTGAAACTGTGACAGGCCTACTTTTAGCTTTTGCACTGTCTGGCTAATTTAAAATAAGAAACAACTGGCTGCTGTAAACATTTCAGCACAAAATGCCTCATTTATTTGTTGGTTGATTAAATGTTGGATAGCTTAGCCCACGTAGCTTTAATTAATAAGACTGTTGTCCCTTTTCATTAGCACTTTGCAGTATGTGTATATTTATACATTTATACATACAATGTCCAGATTGTTCCTTGCTGATAAAAATGCTATATCTGTTTCACAACTTTAAGACTAAGTTTAAGGATCTGTTGCGTCTTTATCAGACACAGAATAGAGCCACAAATGCTCTTGGCTGTCTGTAACTGAGGCCATGTTGGAAACAGCAGCTACTCAAACACTGCAGGAAGGTCCACTGAAGGACTTAGCATCCTTTATCCTCTACTCATACATGTCGATGTGGGAAGCTTCGTTCTTTACTGAGGAATTTAACTCATCGATAATAAGGATTTTCTCTCTTAAAGCCGGTTGCGTCTGCTCCTCGCAGTATTCGAGCTGGGAGCTCTGAATCAATATCCACATATTTGCAGATACACGCAAATTTCTGTCTGATATTAACCACTTCTTTTCTGTGACATTTACCCCAAATGTAACTGGATCCTCTGAACGACAAGGTCGCTAACACTGCTGGGCCCGGAACTAACATCATGGCCCAATCCCATTTCACCCCTTGCCCCTACCTCTTAGCCCTTAGCCCTCTGTTTTGCGCGTTCACGTCTAGGGTTAGGGTGTCCCAATTTTTGTTCAGATAGAGTAGGGTGAAGTGTTAGGGCTACATGGCCCTCCAAACGGAGGTTTTTCAGAGGCAAACTCCAAACGGAGTGTTATGGAAAAAAAGAAAAACCGGCAAGATGGCTGCGCGAGCGACCAAAGAAACCCACAAATATGAGGATTTTCTCAATTAAAAATTACGACAATCACTGTATTATCTTAGTTTAATGTTGTTTCAATGTATTATCGTCGTTTTCTTCATAATAAGCATTAAAAAATCGCTAATAGCATGCTAATGTCTCGGTAGCTCGCTAGCTAACTTTCCTGTTCTACCTTAAATAGTCCGGCAGTATTGACGCCTGAAGCGCCAGAATGCAACTGCTGCACCATTTAAGGTGGAACGGGAAAATTCGAACAAGAAGCTGGCGAATATCTGACTTCAGCTTCGTATCACCAAAGAATTAGTGGTGGGTGATAATAAATAATTGTTTTATACTCTCTTTGAAGGCATATAATGCCCTAAATGTAAAGGTTGCTGAACTTTTCCCTTCTCTGCTATCATTGCAGACGGGCCGGGTTGCCTACAGAGCACCGATAGTAGGCTGTTAATGAAGCAATGTTGTTTTGTTTTTTTTAATGTGAGGGTCCCATTTCGTAGGGCAAGATTTCAACCACTACCCCTTGTAACTCAGTTCCAAGGGGTCAGGGTGACACTCGAAAACAAGGGGTAGGGGTAAAAAGAAGAAATGGAATTGGGCCCATAAGACTGGAAACCTCACCAAAATACACCAAAAACAGGCATCATGATGTTGAACCCCAGCACTATTTGGGGTTTTGGTGTCAGCTCTAGTTTCAATACAGACGTTTTTAGCCCGTAGCAGGCATGTAAGTAACGTTCTTACTTTGACTGTCTTTCGTTTTTAGTAGCGCTTTATTTAAAGGCTTAAACTTAAAGTCTTTCTTTTACTGCTGCCTGTTCAGCCTGCTAGTGAGGACAAAGTATAACCAGTTATAAAGAATATAACATGTAAAGAAGTTAATGTTAATCTAAGACAGTTTCCATTTCCATGACAAGCAGTAAGGGCTTTTCACCAGGTCTGAGACTAAATAAAACTAAATTCGCTTTTTAACACTGAATGCTCTGAGCTGAAGTTGAGTCTTTGCACGCACACACACACGCGCACACACACACAGCACTGCTGCAGAGCTTCAGCTGTTGTGAGTTGGTGGAACTCCTCATGCTGTTTGTGACATTTTTAGCAGAATGGGCTGCTACCCAGTGTCTGAGTTTTTGTTTTTGTTAAGGCTCAATCTGTCTTTTCCTCATTTGCTTCATCTTCCTGCGTTCTCAATGTTAAATAAAAAGTGCATCAGTCTTGAAGTGAGGGATTCAGTGACATAAATCCATAAAAATGTGAAAAAATCTTCACAATGATAAAATATTAAGTTAAAACGAAGCATGAAAAATACTGTTTTCCCTTTGTGCCAATATGACAGACATAGCGTGCTGCACAGGGCAACTCACTGCTCTGCATGAAACCAAAACTGGAGTTTCGGATAGCGGATTTTATGGCCGTCATCAATAATTATCAATAAAACGATAAGTGCACATTTTGAATAAGAATGGCATTGATTTTTCCTATAGAGAAAGGCAGCTTAGTTATGTATTTGGACACAACACTGACATGAAATGATGCACGATTTCAGGGGTCTACTGTAAAAAATAATTGGTAGCACAGAAAGAGGAACTGAAGAAGGCAGATTAGTCAGACTGTTATTTGGAGAGGGAGAGGAAGAGAAAGAGAAAACTCTTACGCCGAGTACGTGCGTGTGCGTTTGGTGGGCAGTGGGCTGGGCAGTTCCCCTGTTTTCTCCCAGATGCGGCTGCCCTCCCTCAGGAAGGGAAAAGAGAGAGAATGGGAGGCCGAGCGGGGCGAGCGGAGAGAGGGATCAGTCGTGGTCGACAGGTCCGGTTCCGCCATGGCTCGAGCGTATGTGTGTCTGTCGTCAGCGCTGGGCTGGTTAGATCTTGGAGAAGCTGGAGGGTTTCCTGAGCTGGTTGTGGTGATGTAACCCTCAGAGATCAGCACACCTGATGGCTACGTTGAGGAATTTTTTGCTGAACAGTCGAGTTTAAGCCTGAGTGATGCTGTGAGGGCAGTCATAAACATGTAAAAGCCAACTGTAGCAAAAGAGAGAGAGAGAGAGAGAAAGAGAGGTTATTAGAATCATTTTATTTATAAGTATAAGTAACACACACAAGGAATTTGTGTTGGTGAGTGCACACATGTATGACGTGTAACATACTGACCAGACAAGCACACAGACTGTTAACAAGTGTTTAGCTAAAAGACAAATAAAATAAAATCAGAATAAATAATAAGAAAAATAATAAAGAGCCAATGTGAAATGAGCTAGAGATGTGTAAATGTTTGTACATATGCAAATATGAATATCTATACATGTTCAACTCTGTGTAGACATATAATAACTGTTATATAAATAAGAGTGAAATGAACATTTGTAAAAATTAACATTTGTACAATACTGCAAATAAGCATTCTGCTGCAGGACGGGTTATACTGTGATACTGTAAAGGAGGTTTGCTGATATTAGTTTAGGTTTAAAGTGCAAAGTGTCCACTGTGGTTAATGAGAGCTGCAGCTCCGGAGAAAAAGCTGTTAGCATGTCTGGTTGTGCTGGTTTTGATGGCCCTGAATGCTCTACCAGAGGGGAAGTGGGTGGAAGAGGTGATGTCCAGGATGAGAGTGGTCAGCAGTAACTTTGCCAGCATGCTTCATCACCCTGCTGTTGTAGATGCCCTACATCCAATGATTCTCTCCACTGTCCTGATTATGGCTCATTCTTGTGAGGTGGAGGAACCAAACCAGATGGTTATGGATGATGTGAAGATGGATTTGAAGATCGCTGTGTAGAACCGGATCATCAGACTCTACAACAGGTTGAATTTCTTCATGTGTTGCTCATTCTCTGCTGTGCTCTCTTGCCTACGAAGACTGTGTTTCCCTCTCACTTCAGATCCCTGGATATGGTTGTTCCCAGAAACTTGAGTCAACCTCAGAGCCACTGATGTTGAAGCCACAGTAAGGAGAAAGAGCTGGGCCTGAAGTCCACCACCGTCTCTACAGTCTTCTGCGTATTCAGCAGCAGGTGGTTTTTACTGGTCTGGGACACCAGCTGTTCGACTTCTTTTTTGCAGGCAGGCTCATCACTGTTGGCTATGAGGCCCATCACGGCGGCGTCATGTGCAAACTTGAGGATCTTCACAGCTGGATCCTTGGATCGTTGGTGAAAAAAATTGGTGACTGAAAAGAAGAGGTGAGAGCATGCAATTTTGTGAAACTCCAGGATTGAGGGACTAGGGGTCTCACGTGTGCACCTGCTGTCTCCTGTTTGTCAGGAAATCCATTATCCACCAGCAGATGGGATTTGGCACAAACAGCTGGGACAGTTTGACCTCCAGCAGCTCCGGCACTGTGGTGTTGAAAGCCAAACTGAAGTCCAGAAAAGCAGATGTTCTAAGACTGTCAAGATGCTGTAGCATGAAGTGCAGGGCCATGTTGACCACCTCATCAACAGACCTCCAGGTGGGCTAAGACCAGGCGTTCAAAGACCTTCATGACTGTGGTCAAAGGTTGTAAATTATATAAATCAAATTTGTATAAATCAAACATGTATAACACAACTAAGAAACTGTAAAGATTCAAGAAGAATCATGTTAGATTCGTCCAGAATGATGACCAGAGCTGTAGATGATTCTAACAAAATTGAGAAAGCTGTATAACATTAAGAATAAAGAGCTATAATAAAGCTATAATAGTAATTAGAAACCCTCAGGTAGTACGTTATTAGTGTGTGTGTGTGTGTGTGTGTGTGTATGTATGTATATATATATATATATATATATATATATATATATATATATATATATACACACATATACATATATACACACACACATATACATGTTCATGTTCGAATTTACCCGTTCCACCTTAAAATCTGACTGAGGCGCCGAATGTAAATGCGGCACCATTTAAGGTGGAACGGGAGAATTAGAAAGAGAAGCTTTAGCTTCGCCACTTTTTACTGTGTGACAGCCTCTCTTCGCAGATTTACGTAGCAGGAAACCAACTGCGCTGCTTATAAATGCGAATAACGCATCGCTGCTATGTGACCTGCAGTCTGCACGACAATTTTTAGTCGTTGCGAAACGTGCGCTATGTTGCACACGACCCGTCTCAAAGATCCTTTACTGAAACAGCGATCCCCCCCGTCTCTTCAACGAGACCAAAACCAAAGTTATAAAATCACTAAAGAAAACGGGTAGAATAGCTGTAACGTGCTGCGTGGTCATCCACTGACACTGGATCTTATTTCACCGTAACTGCGCATTTTATCGCAGATGAGTGGCAGCAGCGTCTCGTGCTCCAAACAAGAGCAGTGAATGAGAACTAGTTCACTTGCCGCATCACTTCCATTTGTTTTATTAAAAAAGATATTGGAAGTAAATTCATTATGGATCATTACAAATACTTTGCTTTAAAAGTACCAAGTCACTTTAAATAACAATAACACAGAGTCACTTTGTCACTTTAAAATGTATATTGTCTCTATATTCTGTATATATTTTGCGTATATTTAATATATTTCAGTTGGTTTTTCTTGTATTTTTATTTTTACTTATTTACTTTCTGTAGAGTGATTAGCTGAGCCTCACCACAAGCATTTCAATGCATAAATGTCCTGACATGTTGTGCAAGTGACAAATAAACTTGAACTCGAAACTTGAGCTCACACAGTGAGGAAATATAAATGCTATATAGAAAAAAAAGATGCATCGAGATGCATCCATAATCGTTTTATAATCGCATCGCAGCCCTCTGAATCGTAATTGAATGGAATCGTGAGGTGCCTAGAGATTCCCACCCCTAATGTGATGTGATGCCTACAGCATTTACCACTCCTGATACTAAATGATTCCAAACTTTTGAGCAGTTGCGTATCCCAGGGACAATATATACAGAATAACAATAACAACATTCCTGACACATGAGCTGTGGTGCTCTCCCTTGGCATCTTTTACCCAGAGCGCTGATTCTGGCTGGGCTTTTCAATCAGTGTGCTGCATATTTGTGCTTTCCTGTTCCAGCACACCTGTTTCAACATGTGCATGAAATTAGCCGATGAATTAGGCATGTTAGAGCAGGAAACCAATAAATAAACTGAAAAGTACACTTCATTCCAAGATTGGGATTAAGAACAATCTCTTCAAATATAGTTGATCAACCAAGACATGTTTGGTATCTGAAGTTTGCTTCTTTAGTCTTGGGCTACAAGGCTAATGTAGCTAACAAGTAATGGCAGCCTGTACTCACCAATTAGGAATGCATAAACTGCTGCCTAAATCCTCACACACTGGTCTCAAATTGCTTGAAATTTTTGAGTAATCACAAACAGACTTATTAGTATAGTTTTGGACATTGTATGACATACAGTTATCAATGAAAATGGACAAAATCAGGCTTCAGTATGGCTGCTACTACTTTTTTTACAAAAAACAGAGCATCATGGAGAGTCAGAAACCATATAATCATATCTAACTAAGATTACTGCTATGCAGTCTCACATAGTGTATGATTACATATGACACAGTCTGCATTGTGCTATTTTGTATGTACGCTTTCACTACTAGTTCTCCAGCTCCAGTGCAAAACTAAAGAAGCAAGAGTTTAACCAGCAAACTTGTTTTGGCTGATTCCTTCTGTTAACTGCCACTATTCCTTTAAAGGAAAAGAGTGCTAAACTCTGCGGTGCCGTGGTCCTCCAGGACCAGACTCAGTTTCCTTCTTCATTAGGCTGCCCAGTCCATGTCTGCAGCTTTGCTCTGTTCGAGGAGGAAAAAAAGCACCAAGTGAAACAGCCCTTTCCTTGATAAGTGGCGTAAATAAAGCTGTGCTGCAGTTTGTTTACATGCACGGCGCCTCATGCCCCGGGGTGCGAGCAGAGCCACCACAAAAGCGTCCATTGTGTTCGGACAGGGCGGCACAAACTGGGCAGAGTGGCACTAAAGAGCACAAGAGCAATGAGGGACTTTATTCTACCATTTTTTTTTTCCTATGCATTTTCACTGGAGTGGTGTGATGCTCTATATGACATTAAGAAAACCTCTGCAGTGTGTGGAGAGCTGTGACGCACACGAGCCGTCAGGGCAGCTGGTGAGGTATTTTTAACATCATTGAGCAAAAGGAACAGAACTTCTGCTCCACGGATTAGTGACGATGAAAATAACAGCTACAGATCTTCACCTTAGAGGTTCAAAACATGACCAAACTATCCATATATTTTTTTAGAACAGATTGAAAACATTCTGGTAGTGTTTATATAGGACCTAGACCTAGGAAACATAGTGTATTTGAAAATGTATTTCAGATTTTTAGATTGAAGTATGAATTATTGGCTCTATTGTCATATATATATATATATATATATATATATACACACACACACACACACACACACACATATACACATTACGATACATGTAAACAAGCTAACTTGGCTGAATGCGCATTCTCACCAAGCAAAGGAGAAACAGAACTGCTCTCTTCCTTCTCTATTTCTGACAGCAGTAATAGCAGTAAGTGAACATTTCTATATACTATCACAAAAAAATTCTTACTATGTCAAAATAATGACTTAGTATCTTGACATAATAGTATATTAAGTTGAAATAACTTGTTTTATCAGAATTTTGTCTTAGTGTCTCGAAATAATGGCTTTTTTTCTCGAAATGTTGACATACGGTCTCAAAATAATGACTGTCAAAAATAATAACTTATTTTCTATACATATTGACACAGCATCTCAAAATAACAATTAATTTATTAAAAAGTAAACAAATATTTCAGAATAAGACATTATTTCATGATAAAACATAAAACTTTTGAAAAAATTATCGACATTGACATGCTAAAAAAAAAAAAATCATTGTGATTTTTTTGGTTCCTGTTGGTGTCCAACAGTCTCTAAAGGTATTCTGTGTTTTCCTGATGGGCTGATACCACAGTGTAAGGGATTCTAATGGTTTAACAGGTGTTCTGGGACTGACTGCAAATGCATTTGATGGTTTTCTAATGGGGATCTAAAGGTGTCCTACAAGAAACTAGCCTCTAATGATAACCATTAAGCCAATTCCCATTAGAAGGCAGTGCACTGGTCAGGAATGTGCCTCCATAAGAGCACAGAGATGAAGGTCGGTCAGATGAATGATGTGGATCTCTGATCTGATCTGATCTGATCTCACAAAGCTGCACTTTCAGCCTCGACTTCCTCACAGCCGCCCTCGAAGAGCGAAAATGTCACATTATCGAGGGATTAACAGAGCAAAGTGTAATCAGGTCCATCACTGACCCATAAAACCGTTTTATGACCTAAAAGTGTGCAATGTATGTAAAGCAGCAGCTGCTAGGTTCATCATAATGTGGAGAAATCTCAGTCAGACATCGCTGCTCTTCCAGAAGGTTCTGCAGGGATGTCGAGGAGACAAAACAAAAGAGGCTAAAGAGGGGTGGATAAGGGGAGAGGACACAAAAACATACCAGAACAGCGACTTGGAGCATATTTGCCATATTTGTGGGCACATTTAGCAAGAAAAAAACCCTCAAGTTCCTCACGGTTTCCTCCCAAATCTCTCCCGAAATCTGCTTTATGGCGGAATGCAAACGACAACAGAGACAAACAGGCAGCAGCAGCGTTTTTGCAGGGTGACTCATATTCAGCAGTGTTTACTACTCACCGCTCACTTCGGCTAAACCCGGTCTGGAGAGGCAGATGTTTCTGTCGCGGTTTGTATTAAGAAAGATGAAATGAAGTGAATTCCCTGAATCCTGATGCACCACCGGAACAGCCCGGGATCTGCTCGGGATCCCAGCGTTCCCACGGAGCAGACGGCTCTGAGTGTGTATGTGTGTGTGAGAGAGAGGGAGAAAGAGGAGAGGGCGGGACTGATGCAGCAGCTCCCACTCAGGCCTGTGTGCTCACTCATGCACAAGGGCAGTGGCTCAGAGCACTGAACAAAATGGCCTAGCACTGTTACAACTGCCTATCCAATGAATATAATGATGTTTTTTAAGGCACCTTTATGGCAACACTGCTGTATTAAAATGGTAAAATGTCAATGAAAGAATTTGGGCTTACTAAAAGTGCAACAAATGCAACAGCAGTTCTTCCCATTTATAGGCACACATCCTACTTTGTGTCCTGCTTATTTTTTTCCCAGAGGTCCACTTATGATGTTTGTTTTTTTTTTTGAACGCTCACATGGCCACCCTGCTGAAAAAGGAGCATCAGAGCCATTAGGATTAAAACCTGGTTTTGCTTTCTAATGAGAACTGGCTTAATTACCATAAGAGACCACTAGTGTCCTGTAGGACACCATCAAATGCATCAGAACACCTATTAAAACACTAGAATCCTTTACATTGTGATATTAACCCATCAGGAAAACACTAAATATCTTAATAGCGACTATTGGACATGTACAACCTCTCATTATCCCTTAGAATTAAACAGGCTGTTTAAGACTTTCTCTGTTCTGATTGGCTGTCCTGTACACATGTAGATGGTTGATAGACAACCAGGTTCCATTGTTTTCAAAATTGTTTTAAAATTCTGCCAGCAGCATCGACAGCATGCAGCAGCGTTCAGTTTTCCCAACTTTTCCCATCAACCATGGCGGTGGAATTAAACCACTGATTTTTTTGGAGCCATGGATGCCAAATGTCTCACTGAGGCAGCATAAATCTATTGGTTTCTGTGACATCACAAAAACAGATTGCAGTTCAGTTTATATATAGACTTGATTTGTATTTAATATTTCATATACCATGCTGCAATAAATCCATTTTAACAGGTCTATTTATGCTCTTTTTGTAGTTAAATATGCAGTTGGGAAGTGTTTTTAAGTACTAACGATATCCATAATATGCATAGAAAAGCATACTGTGATATACTGTCATGTAATTCATCTTAATAATCATAACTACGGTCATACTTCCCAGCCCTAGTCTACAAAATACATTCAAATAACAACAAATAGCAGAAACTTCAGTTTTCCACAAAAACTGCTCAATGTTTAATACATACATTGTATTGTACAAATGTTACATTAAAACATGTGCCCTCCTTTTCAGAGCCCAGCAGTGCTGATTATCGAGGCTGTGAAAACACTGAGCTGAGAACAAATGTATTCCTTTTTCACCTTTGAAAAGTGTTTTTGTGCCCTGTTTTTATGCAGATAAACTTTCAGATTCTCGTTCTACGGATGTATCTGGTGTCAGCAACTGTGTTGTGACTTGCATGAGATTGGCAAAATCTTACTCTGAGGCATGTTTTCAGAGCTTTGTTACGTGTGGGTTAGATTCTGCAGATATTAAAATGGTGCGATCAGGCCTGCACACCAGGCTATCCTGTTCATCTCTGCCGCAACTATGAATCATGTGATTGTGACTAGCTGACATTTTCAACTACTGTTCCTCAGCACCTGCTGTGACGACCAAACAGCTGAATCATTTAACTTCATTAGGCTACTTGACTGCACTTGTTTCACTGAAAGGGGTTCGTTTGTTCACAAAGGAACCACAATATATATTTTGTTTGCATTTTCTATTTCTTGACATTGAATGAAATTCATTCATAAAGTTGAGATTCTGATAAAAGTTATACGAATGGACAGATAACATCTGTTCACTGGCATAAAATAAACGCACTGTTCTCAGAGCTTATGTTTCCAAAAACAAACAAACAAACAAACTCTTCCTGCATGTGTGTCACACATAAGTGGGGCAGGTTGTCACGTGTACATTTTCATTTTAGCACTTTAGCTATGAGTAAAAATGTATTCAATTCAATACAAGCTGTTCATTTTTATCCTGTTTATTATTCAATTATTTATTCTTTTTTATAAAAATATTTTTGTAAATGTAAAGTGTGACAACCAGCCCCATTCTCTCCCATCACCCAGTACAGGATTTACATCTGAGCAATAACAGTCTTCAAATGCATTCTAAGTGGCCTAAGGAGGAGGAGGGAGGTGGCAGTATAATAGATCAGAATGTAGTATCAGAATGCGGTTGCCCTACCTTCATCCACCTGCCACTGCCACGCCACCTTTCCACAGATAAACTGACTTGAATGGATATTTACCACAGATCACCATCTGCATACTTTAATAAATGTGGGCCATTTATTATACAGCAATCATCCATTAACCTACAGTATCCACACTGTTGGTCGGTCAAAAACAAAGTACCAACACTAGCACTTCATCTCTATCAGAAACTGAGCTGATTTTTTTAAAGCTAATATCAAAATAAATACATCCCTTCACAGCAGGACTATCTGCCTTCTCATTTGGAAACAGTTCTGCAAATTGGTTTATAAAAGACTCTTAAATTCACACATGATGGGTGACAGATTAATGAAGCCAAACTGGGCCACATTACTTTGTGAGGATGGTCATCTGCTGCCAATGAAAAGCAGCGCACACAGATTTTATTACATCTCATTTACTGATTGGACCACTGAACTGTCAATCGTTCCTTCAAAGGTATATTACTTCTGCTTAAATGTCATGCTACGTTTACAGTGTAGCTTTTAGCGTAGAGATCTTGTGATGTCATGGTGGTTCAGATGTTGAACGGTATACAGGAGGGCTGCAAGACAGATTGTTTGGTAAATTCCACCAATGTTTCAAAATGTCCGATGTAAACAAAGTCTGATGTAAATCGTGACATTCTAGGGAAACTTACTGGGTCAGCATTGTTCACAGTGGTGGCGATAGGAACCAGACGTCTGAAGCACTTAAAGCCACCTCACATAAAGCTATTACACAAAATGTTCATGAATACCCTGCCTGATACGTTGTTTTGCAATAGTTTCATGTGTATTTTTACCACCATTTTACTGTTACTGACATATAAAAAATCAGAAGACACGACTAGGTTCACTGGTCTTTCTAGACAGTAAAATGGCAGTAAAATTTGCATTGTAGACATTGCGACCCCTGGTTTCCATCACCATCACTGTAAAGCAAATACAGTCAGTAAATTTGTCTATAATGCACCATTTCACCCCAAACCTCTCTAAATGACCTGGTTAACTTCTTAACAATTTAATTATGCAGAAATGCTGTAAAACAGGTGAAATTCCCATTTAATCGCTGTTGTTATATTGGTCTTTGCATTCGTGCCATAACAGAGGACTGTAATACCTAATTGAGCCTTTAACCATTTACTGTCAGTGTTCTTTTTCAGTTTCGTGTTTTTTAGTGTGTTCTGTGAGCATTTTTTCTGAGTAATCTAGGCCAATCTCAAACCCATTACTACTGTTTTTAATATATTGTAAGGCACATCATAATCACATTATGTAGAAATATATGTGTAATACTAGCACTTTGTCTGTATCGTGCAGCACATATACATAGCAGAGAAATGAGGAGGCCGAGTCAGTTCCGATGGCCACGGTCTGCAGCACTAGACGCAAATGGTAAAGTCTTAGGCTCCACCTGGTTCCCCAGCCACTTTTCCATTGGCAAAAAAGTCAGCTGTGATTTCTAAACAATGCACCTTCTTGGAAATCCAGACAACACCTTTAAACGTTCAAGAAGATGCTGAGCCACAACTACTTTGCAGTGTCTCTTGCATTAATCACGACAGGACAAGCTGCACACAAAGACACAAAGATGGTTACCCCTGCAAGTTCATTTTGCGGAGAGGTATGGAGCAGGAGAAGTGTGTAAGAAAAGACATCCTCCTACAGCTAGCTGCTCCACCAAGACAGCAGCCCTAATCCCGGCTCACTGATGGAGGCCTGCAAGGCAGAAAAGAGTTCATAGAACACATGCATCAACTATATGTTTTACTGTATGAACTAAAGCAATATGTTACTCAGTAGAGCTAGCTTTGTTAATTATGAGCAGAAGCTACTACAGACTAAGAGACACAACATATGTATAACCAAATGCTGCTGTCAGAATAAAACCTTGTGAATCCAAAATGATGACTTTACAAGAAAATGAAAAAACATCCTTTACTTTTAATATAAGTCAAAGTAATCAGACTTCGCCAAGTAATGTTGAGACATTTCTTTTGGTCCATTCATCATGAAATTTAGATACAATATAAAGGGTAACAAAATCACTAGACCAGTTGAAGGTGCCTAGAATTACACCACTGAGGGCCAATTCTGGTCTTAACTAGGCAGAATCCAGCATAATTTGGTGGTTTCCTGCTCACACCACCTTTGCCACAGCACGAGTGCATGTCACTGACGAGCTGCCACACAGGGACATGCCATGATAAGCAGCAGTCTTTATTCTTACTTTTAGTTGAATATATATAGTTGCTGCAAGTTTTTTTCAGTTTATTTTTACCACTGAAAACAGCGGATGTGATGCAGTCCGACACGCTTTTGCTATTAAATGAACGTTCTGAACGAGGGAGAAATTAATACATTGAGTAGTAACATTTACATGCAATCAAATATTGCAATACTTCACTTTCTTAGATTGGATTAAAGTCATTATCAGATTTCTTGAAACAGACTGGATTTTAGCTCAGTAATGGGTTTTTCAGTGCATGTATACCCCTACTCTGATTTCTTTTGTTTTTTTGTCATCTGCGCATACACAGAAAATGAACCAGATAGAGAAGAACTGCCTGCCAAACAGTAAACACTGAAGTGATATTCCAAAGCTACAGCTGTGAAATGGAAAAAAATTACAGCATTGTGCAATTAGGAGAAGTATTATCTCACAACAAAACAAAGTGTTTATTTGTTAAAAAGTAACTGCAGAAGGAAATTTTACTTTTGCGTTACATGCTGCACTTCTTTGGTAGGTTTACTGGTAACTTAACACAACAATGAAGATGCACATTGTGTATTTGGAAAGAAACCTGATTACTAAATCACTAAGACCCAAAGTTCTAAAGAGCTTATAAAATGTGCAGAAATAATTATTGCCAAAATCGGATGTTCGGCAGTTATTGGAGTATTACGTATGTGTAAACATGCTCAGTGAAAAGGTCATCACTTTTTCTCTGCAACTCAAAGACACCGCGAAACAGACCTCAGCTAAAAAATGTCATACAGCTGTCTGAAGCTATCCAGCAGGTGCAAGAAATATTCAACAGGTCTAATGATATTCAGAACTGCCCAATTAACCAAATCAGCATTAAAACGGCCCATTTAATGCATTGTCTTATATTTTATTTTTCCCCTGAGGCTCTTTCATTAATTGATGTACCAAAAAGAGTCACAATTCAAAACGTCAGCATGAATGGGCAGGATTAAACTGCTGTAGGCAGAATTGGTGGATATATGTAAATGCACTGATTTTTATGACATCATAAAAACGATGAATTTACAATAGGCTACAGCTTAGTTTCCATGTACATTGTTAGAAATAAAGATACTGTGCAGGTACTTTATTTGTTCATCAAGGTACAAACAACCTAAATGTTCCCTCAAAGGTACAACAGTGGTTTTAAGGTCCAACTGTGTACCTTAAATAGGTTTTTCCCAGTGAAAATGTACATATTTGTACCTTCATAACCTAATGTTTTAAAACAGAACAATAAAATAAAAAGCCTGGAGACGAGACAGGGTATGTGGAGTCAATACAACAAGAAAATATAATTTTTTATAATTATGGTACAATGTACCTTGAGGGTACCACCCCAATGACAAGAGTGGTACTGCCCCACTGACAGTTTCATACCTTTATTTCTCAGAGTATGTGGAGTGTATGGACTGGGGGTGAATGGTATGTTTTGAAACAACAACGTTTACACACCACATTAAACTCTCTTCTTTAAGTGAGGAAAGTTCAGTTTTCTCAGTAATCTGAGTAATCCTCAGATCAAGTCTGGCACTAAGTACAGTATTACACAAATTAATATGAATAAATGTGTGTGTGTTTGCGTGTGTTGTCTCTCACCATCAGTGTGTAAGGAGCCTCTTTTTTCTGTGCACTATCGTCTGTAGCTGCAGTAGGTGCTGTGCTGGAGTTAGCTGGAGGTTCTGGGTCAGTGGTGGGTCCGGTGGGAGATGTGTCCAGGAAGAGCTCGTCCACGACCCGGAACCGGATCTCCTCACCCTGGTCCATGTAGAGGTCATGAGTGCCCTCATCAGTCTCGTACTCCCACACCCACACCTGCTCTGCCTCGTCGCTATGGCAACCCGTCAAGGACCAGAACAAACTGAACACAAGCTGTTATTTGTTGTCCCACAGTGAGAGCAATAAGATCAGGCTATGATCTAAAGTAATACATTTAGACAACAGAAATACAAGTCAATCTATAAACAAAGCCAAGCCTATTAGAATGAGCTGTTCTTCCATTTATCTACAGTTAATCAAAGCGACACATGTAGGATACAATTTAGCAGGCTGCTGTAGGGACTCAGGTGGGATTAAGATGTCATCAAAGAATCCAAGGGTGACTGTGAAACAGAGAGGGAAGGAGAGTTTTAAAACTTCATTTTTAAAGCATAATTAGTCAAAACGTTCTACATGTTAGAGTAAAGGAAAAAAATAGTAATAAAAAATACTAATAACGGGGAGGAGGTTCACTACTGAAATAATAACACACCCTTGTCACAGAACACTTTGACTGGCACATCACTTTTTCTCCAACCCAGGAATATTATGAGCACTTTAATAAAAAATAATCTCAACGCATATGCGTCATTCCACTAAGGCTTGGAACAATTTTAAAGCGTCCGTGTTCTGCCCTGCAGACACCAATCTTTTGTCTTTTGAACAGGAGCCTCCATGAGAGATACAGACATTTAGGGAAAGAACGATGGGCTCTCCATTTAAAGTCAAATCTCCACTTCAGCTCATGGAAATAAAGTGATTAAACACAACTGTGGTACAACACCCTCTTACAAGCTGTTGAAAAAGGCAACTTTTGCAACCCTCCCATGCGGAGAAGTTGCTCCTCACTATCCCCCAGTTCACAAACAAAAGGGTTAAATAGAAATAGAAATAACTCTGGGAAGGACACTTGAGTCAACCCATCAGCCAGAGGACAAGTGACAAACACCTTCAGGGGTGAAGACAAGGACACTTTAAATGTACTGATTAAACTGCCAATTACTCTCTCTGATCTGAAACCAATCTGCTGTGTTAAAACTCCAGCTGATCGCCACTCTCAACCCTTAAATCAATCAAATGCCTGAGGAGAGAGAGTGAGAGTGTGACAGAAAGAGAAAGAAAGAAAGAATGAGCAAGAGATCTAGTGAGAGAGAAAGAGAAAGGCAGACAGAGACAGAAAGAGAGAAAGAAAGAGAGCAAGAGAAACAGACAGCAAGAGAGAGAGACATAGCAAGAGAAATAGAAAGAGATAGAGCAAACCAGAGAGAGTGTGTGAGAGAGATAGAGAAAGAAAGAAAGAGAGTGAGCAAGAGAGACAGAAAGAGAGAAAGGCAGACAGAGACAGAAAGAGCGAAAGAAAGAGCAAGAGAAACAGAGAGAATGAGTTTCCCAGCATTTCAAAAGTAAATATAAAAAATATAAACTAAAAATATATGTTTCTTTTTTTCTCCTTCCATTAAATTTTCTAATGATGTCAATTTCTGACAAAATGTTAAACATAACTGATGTCATATGTTGCATGCAGTGTTACCGTATACTCCTTCTTGACTGCAGTATTTAATCTTCCCCACTAGAATCTCATCCAGGAAGGGGTGAAACACCACATATCTAAAATGCACTGTGTGAAAAGAAGTAACAGTAAAGATCTTATGGTCACATAAACATTAAAGCCCATGTCTGAAACCACTGAAACTGGAAGGCCAGTCTGAGTAATACCACAACATAGGCTTTCAAATAAGCATTACAATGCATCCAGTGTATAACAGAACACATAACAATCCACCTGGCTGCATTACCTTTAGTGTGAGAGGCTCCGTCCCCGGGAAATATGTAGGAATCCTCTAGTTTAGTGATGTCATACAAGCAGATGCACAAGCCAACATTATACACAACCTAAGGAAAGGAGAGACCGGACCGGTTATTGTCTAGCAGGGACAGTTGACTTAGTATCAGGAAATTGGCTGATACAGACAACACAGTCAGCCTGTGTTATGGACTCCACAAGAGCATCAACCTCCCACAGAATGGACAGGTGTATTCAGATTAACCACTGAAAACCAATCACTAACGTTAGATGGTTATCAAAGATTATTTAAAAAGAATGAGAAAGAACAGGCAAAGAACTGCAAGGCAGTTGCACAATGTCTGGGACGAAATAGTTTTAGTTAAGCGTCTGTGCAGAGATCGGCAGTCACCAGCCTAAACACAAACCACTATATATGTCTATGTACAAACACTCACCAAGCACTTTATTAGGAACACTATACTAATGCTGTGTTGTAAGGCCTCCCTTTTGCTCTCAAAACAGCCTCAATTCTTTGTGGCATGGATTCCACAAGATTTTGAAAACATCTGAGATTCTGGTCCATGTTGACATGGAAGTGCACTTTCATGATGCAGTTCTACCACATCCCCAATGTGTTCTACTGGATTCAGTTCCGGTGACTGGGAAGGCCACTGAAGAACACTTACTTCATTACGAGCCCAGCATGCTCTTCTGCTGTTGCAGCCCATCCACCTCAAAGTTTCACATGCTGTGCATTCGGAGATGCTTTTCCGCTCATCACAATTGTACAGAGTAGATATCTGAGTTAATGTAGTAGGGTCGAACCAGTCTGGCCATTCTCTGTCGAGTTCTCTTATCAACAAGGCATTTCCATTTGCATAACTGCTGCTCACTGGATGTTTTTTCTTTTTTACATGCTAAAAATAACTGAAATCACACTTTTTCTCCCATTCTCATCAACCCCTTTCACCCTGTTCTTCAATGATCAGGACCCCCACAGGATCACCACAGAGCAGGTATTATTTGTGAGATGGATCATTCTCAGCACTGCAATGACACTGACATGGTGTTGGTGTGTTAGTGTGTGTTATGCTGGTACGAGTGGCTCAGACACAGCAGTGCTGCTGGAGTTTTTAAAACACCTCAGTGTCACTGCTGGACTGAGAATAGTCCACCAACCAAAAATATCCATCCAACAGCATCCTGTGGGCAGCATCCTGTGACCACTCATGAAGGACTAGAAAATGACCAACACAAACGGTGCAGCAACTGTCTCTGACTTTACATCTACAAGGTGGACCAACAAGCAGGAGTGGACAGTGAGGGGACACAGTGTTTAAAAACTCCAGCAGCACTGCTGTGTCTGATCCACTCGTACCAGCACAACACACACTAACATTCCATCACCACATGACTGTCACTGCAGTGCTGAGAATGATCCACCACCCAAACAGTACCTGCTCTGTGTGGGTTTCTGACCATTAAAGTACAGGGTAAAAGGGGGGTGTTTCCTGAAGTTTAAACTGTTTATTTTTATTCAGTCGACCATTTGTACACAAAGAATGGGGTTGGATGTTTGGGAAAGGTGCACTGCTGGTGACCTGTTTAGGCTCCCGGCACTACAATGCAGTAGGTGAGATTAGGTTCTGTAGCTGAAGTGACATTATGAAACTTATACTGCATTGTGAACACAGCTACCTGCTGAAATTAGTAAAAAAAAAAGCAAGTACGTGATGGAGTGTCAAGGAATTTTACAGGGCTGAGGCAGCAACCTTAGTAGTGATGCTTAGAGACATTTTTTGCTCTTTATCCTTGTCACACTTATTTAACGCAGGCTGTCGACCTATGTGGCCAGTTCTGTAACTTTTTAAGAAAAGCTCTAACTTTAGAATGAATATTTTATGCTGTTCTGAGTAACAGAAAACAATGCAGGGTTAAGTGAGTGAAACTGTGCAAAGGGAGTTCCATGTTGTTGTTGTTTGTTTTTTATAATTGATGGGCTTTATATTTTATCCAAAGGACTTGTACTGATCGACAGCTGATGTGTAGTGCAGTGCAGTGCAGCTCTACAGAACTGGAACTGGGAAACACTGGATGCAGGTCTTACCTTGTTGGCCAGTTTCTTGTTGAGCTCTTCAGCGACGGCATCGTTGAGCTGCCGATGGAAATTCCACGGAGGAATCCGCACAGTGTCGACCATCTCCACCACCACGAACATCCTACCAGAGCAAACGGACAAACACGGTTCATCAGCGAGAGCACAACAGACGCCAGTCTCTGTGCTGCTAGATGCAGGACATACAGCTAGAAGACGAGGCTATGAACTTGTTCAAATTTCTCGTTCCACCTTAAATAGTGCTGCAGTTGTATTCTAGCGTCAGAACGTAACGGCTGCACCATTTAAGGTGGAACGAGAAACTCGAAAAAAGAAGCCAAACTCAGCCCCGTGGACAGAGGCTCTACAGGGATCTCTGTAATGCTACTTCAGGAGCTTCTGGACCTCAAAGTTGTTTAACTGAGTTGTTCTGGCCGCCACCTTTACTCCACTTACTTCTAACAGTCTTTATTTCACTGTTCAGCGGGAACATTTTATCCGACAGTGTTTTTATCCGACATCAACACATTCAGAGCTGCATGTTCACTTTTACTAGCTAAACGAACTGACAGCAACAGAGTGGGCTAAGCTGCCCAGCCGGCTGTCCGCTCTCAGTTTCACCCACCTTCTGTTTTCCGAGAGACCCTAATGTTCGGTAGATAGCCACTGTTCTGGTCAATCGTCCGTTTGACCCATATTCGGTTAAATTAGCATCAAATTCGCTCCGCAATTAAAAACCCAAAGCTCTTTCAGTCTTTGCGTTCAAGCTGCCGCACGTGTGCTGTGACTTTACGACAGTGCTTGGCATTTTACGGCATAGCGCTTTTAAAAGTGTACACAAAACATTAATGATTATGAGAGGGAAATCACAGCAAAAAATACATATATCAAGACTTAAAACGAATTATTTTGAAGGAAAATCATCATAAACGCCAAACAAACAAAAAAAATGAATAAATAAACCTGTTTTCTTTCAGCTTAATAGAAGCTCGACTGTAGCTAAAGTTCTAATTTATAAAATACTCTTAATTTATTGGATATAATAATCAGAGAGATTATAATAAATGAATTAATGAACGTTTTATCCAATAAATATTGAAATATTAAAATTTAAATGTTGATTTTCAAAGTGAAAAAAGCGAACACATCCTCTACAGGAAGCCAATTTAAACACTTTTTTAGAGCACAATTAGCTACGTTTTAAATTTTTCACCAATTAAATCAGCAATTATTTACTGATTAAATTCAGCAAATAAACAGTAATTGTGCATTAAAACGTGCAGAAGTGAAAATCAACAAAACGTGTAATTAGCCCCGAGATGCTCAAGCATCTGCACATGACTGTGTGTATACTGTCTATATTAAATATAAAAAAAGTATATTGTTTCTATTGATTTCTATCTCTGGTAGGTATGAACTCCATCATACTTATACTGCTTACATATGGTAAATAAACCATAAGGCCACTATAACACATGGGCCTTAGAGCGTGTACAGTGATATGTGATTATGTAATCTGCTCATGTCCTCTGTACAAACTCCCCCCCCCCGGAAGCCCGAAGAAGACAAATTATGCAGCAAACCATCACAGATCTTAAGGTCAAACACATCAGATCTGTAGTTCAGAGGACCTCAGTATAAAGCAAATCTGAAAACATTTAAATTCTGTCTGCAGGTATAATTTTAGGAAATAGCCATACATGTAAAATACTTTGCAAAAGTCAGAGACCACACCTCACTTAATTTCCGATCAAAACAGCCATTAAGTACAAGTTTTTCATTGTCAAGAAAACAGCAGAAAATATAATTAACATAAAATTACACAGAAGCCTCAACAACTAAATATGTCTCAGTGTTAAGTGTGTCCACCCTTTGTGCAACTTCCACTCTTTTTGGGCGATTTGCTTTCAGTATTTTTTTTCCACACCTCCATAGTTCAGTCTTAGAAGTTGGTTGAATTTTCTTCTTCTCATGATCCAAGCAATCCCAAACACTTTCAGTGATGTTTAAGTCTAACTCTATGGTGGTCAGTCCATTGTTTTGAGAACACCAGCAGCTTCTTCAATAAGTATGTCTTGATCTTCTCCACATTGTGCTTGGTGTCTTCATCAAGTTGTAGAATGCAGAATGTCTTCCAAATCAAACGTCCAAAGGTTATCACATGATGTATTAAAATTGTACTTATCAGCATTCATGTCTTTAATCAATAACAAATCACTAACTCCACATGTTAAACATTCCCAAACATGCACCGATCATCAACCATGCTAAACCACTGGCTGTTGAAATGGCTTGAAGAGCTTGATTTTACAGCTTTGAGTACTGTTTATATGCTAGTGAGACAGTTTTGGTGGTCTAGCAGGTCTTGCACATTTGTTTGGGCCCCATTTCCTCTGTATTTGGCATGTATTTGTATGATGTGTGTATGCATTTCTATGGAAAATCAAGCTAAAAACAACATGTTACCATCATCTGAAATATTTTATTGTGATTAATTTAGGAAATTCTCTAGACTCCTTCATCAACACCTCTGCCAGCAATAAAACTGCAAGCTTTCAAATCACATCCTTCTAGAGAAAAAAAAAAAAAATCAATATTAAAACCAGAAAGAGACATGGAGACAGATCTTGACAAATTCTTGGATGTAGATGAGATACCAGATGTTAGGAAATGATATCAATAACAGGTCAGTTCAGTTGACAATGCATGTGCACTTGTGAGTGTACAGTAAAATTTCAGTCGCTATTACAGGTCTAAAGCACATTACATCACTGGCACACAGATGTGGGTTTTTAATAACATCGTACAGCTGGCAAGTCATTTCACAGGTGCTGACCACAAGCCTGGTCAGGACAGGGCGGTTTGCAGCAGTTTGGCTCAGTGAGCGAGAACTGCACATAATTCTGAACACTTCACAGAGCAAACCTGTTATTCTAAAGCTACAACAGACTATAATGCTTGTTTTTATGCTTGATTCTAGTTGTATTGTTGGAGGTTAATGCAGGAAACAGAGGAAAGAAACCGAGGCTTAGATCTCAAGCAGTCAGCATCGAATGAGTTTACTACAAGAACAATAACAAGCTCACCCTGTATAATAATACATCTCAATCTCATGAAATTAAAGATACAGTTCATAAACGATGGGAAATCAAAAGGTGCACAGCCATTCTGTTGAATCTTACAGAACTAGGTTCTCCCTTTTTATCCCAATCGAAAAGCACTTCAAACAAGCTATTTACAACTTTAGAATATCAGGATCTGGGTTTCCAGCCTAGTCCAAGACTAAAACCAATTTTTCAGAAGGAAACCTTCACTTAAAATGTAGCTCAACACTTTAAAGTGGGTCCTGAAAACTAAACCACAGGCTCTGAAAAATATAAGTTAAATTAGTCAATCCACAAGTGCTTTCCACATTCGCACTTAAAGTACGCCATTACAATCTAATAACATCAATGAATGTTCTCAGACTATTTGTATGTGTACATGCTTGTTTTGAGACTCTGGGATTTTTTTTAACATTTTAAACTGAAATGACTGATATCGAGTTTTATACAAGAAAATTTTAACTCATTACAAAAATCCAGACTTTAACCAATGTTGAAAAATCAGTGGAATTACCTTTTAATCTGACTGACATTCAGCTGCAGTTCTCTTCAACAGCCATTCAAAAACTTCACCCTTCACTTACATCTTACTAAATATGATCACATTCAGGCAAACCACTACTGATTCTTCAAGTTTTAAAGATGTAGTCATTTTGCTAGCAGTAAAAGCTTGTAATAGAGACTTAAACAACTGTAAATTAGCTATTGATAAGGAGTGACTCATAAAGTTGTGTATGTGTGATAGGCCATGTGTTAAAACACAGCCTACAGACCGCTGTTGTACGTTTGGTTTCTTAGAACAAGACAAGATGGTAACCAGTGAAGACAGGAAGTGAGTCAGCACAGAGAGTGGGGTCATCAACATGACAAGCTGGAGGACAAGGCTGCACACACACAAGCTGAGAAAACAGTTTCTAAAGATGATCTGAGACTCATGGAGTGATCACACAACAGTACTACAGGAATGGAGTGGTAAAACAGGCCATTTCCAACGCAGAAATCATTAGCAAAAATAATTAGCATTCATTATGGAGTAGCTCTCATCCAATTCAGCCTTCACTCTGAATGCTAGGTTTGCCACACAAGCAGTGACTACAACTGAGGCAAATCTAACCTGCATCTTCTCTAGATGGAGTGCCAATTCGGTGATCTATACTGGTGCAAAGTTTTACTCGTGGGTTAGTGAGTTAACTCTGGCATCTACCAAAGACAGCTCTGAGATTAGCTGGGGGGGAAATCCACTCAGCTCAAGACCACTTTATACAGAAGTTGCCTCCCTGATCAAGTAATCCAGAATTTTAGAAGAGCTCTATTTTTGGAAGTGTTTTCAGTGTAACATTCAAATCAGTAACCAATTCAGCAGTCTTGTGGCCCTAGAAGTCAACGTCTAAGGATAAAAATGAGAAGTTCTGGGCTAAATGTAGGTGGAAATGTTTACTTATTAGGGAGGGAACAAGCGGAGTGTGTAATTTTGAAACCAATCCAACATCATAGAGGGTGATGGTGCACTCTGACAACAAGGCTGTCGTTAGGCCAAGGATGTTAGGCATGGCTGAAAAGTCCCACCAAAAAAACTCCAGATGTGAGGCTAACACATTACATGCAGTAAAAATAAACATTACCTCTTGCAAGAGAAAAACAGTTATCAGATTATACTTTAGCTTTAAAAGATGCTACTGGAATGGTGGCAAAAGTGAACAGTGGTTTACTAGCAGCTGTTTGCAGCCTCTGCCATTTACATTTACAGCCATACAGCCAGAATAATTATGATGTGCAGAGAATTGGCACCTGTGTTCAGGAAAAGCAATTCCAATAGCTTAGCGTTTTAGCTAAACAGACTCGAGGAATTTGGGGAGGCTTTGGAGGGAGTGTATCCTTGCTAGTGCCGAATTTCACTGCAATCCAGCACCAAACATTTAATGACTTGTTGTTACCAGACGTGTATTTTCATTACAATATCACATCTGGCCTCACTACTCAGAAATCTAGAGAACATTATAATAGCTCCCTACTCCCTGGAGAGTGCTATAGTCGTGAAACTATAGCTTAAAAACACATAACACACTAAATAGGTGACCTACATATTGCACTACACAAGAGATTCAGCCTAACATTCATTTTAGATACAGGTCCAGGCCACAGGCAGAAGCAGCCAAAAGCGGATTCACCAACGCGGAAGCAGCTATTTTCACAGGACGGCTAAAGGAGTGAAGAGTGATGTGAGAGAGAAAAGACTGAGTTGTGGGAGTGTCTATACACCAGCTACAGTAACACAATGACAGTGTGGTCACTATGAAAATAAGAAGTGCTAGACAGACATGGTGTGGACAAGGTTCAGTTAATACATTAAAAAAAACAAAAAACAAAAAAGCACGCATGCGTATGTGTGTGTGCGCCTGCCTTGTCTGCACAATACAGTAATCCTGAGGGAGTGTGTGTGTGGTGTGTCTGGTGTGCGCGTTCAATCTGTACAGCGACCTGTTATATGTGTATGTGTGTGTATGTATGAGTGAGGTGTAGACTGTGCTCTATAATGGGTTTGTGGGTAATCCACTACTAGCCTAGTTGATTACAAACTATCCGCTGAATGTGCATTTTCTCCCCATCATTTACATGACCCCACCCATCTCCAACTCCTGTCCTGGCTCCGCCTGCTGTTCACTTCTGGAGCTCCTTCATCCTGTTGAGGGCGGAGCCAGCCTGGAACCACTCAATTTGCGTCTCGTTGAAGGTGTGGTTGAGCACAACGCTTTCTGAACTGCCATCAGAGTGTTTCAGCACTGCTGTCAGAGGCTGGAGAGCGAGAGAGAGACAGAAATAACTGTGAAGTCTTATTGCTCATTGCTGACTTTTTTTCTTTTTTATTCATCAATAATTATCACAAACAGAATTTATTGCTTTTTCTTTCCATTTTGCATGTGTCACTGATCAAAACTCCAGTCATGAATTTACACAATTTGCACAGACAGCAGTGAGTTGCTGTGTGAGTGAGGGAAAAACAGCCAAAAAAAAAAAAAAGGTTAAACAGCAGCTGTGTATACTTCAGCTTGATGCTCTTTGAGCGAACAAACTGCAAAACAACCATTGACTCTCATGTGAAAGACAGTATTAGTGTAAATGGGTACAATTTATAATCAGATGGACATTTTTGGGATTTTTTTGGCTGTAAAAGTGCAAAAAGGCTTTGGGGTTTGGTCTCCCCCTTTGGCAGGAATGGAATCGGTCCTAAATATAGTGAATATAACTAATATCCCTATTATTTACACATCTGCAGTAAAGCTAAGATTAGCCAGCATGCCAATGCAGTGACTGGCCAGCTGTTGATGATCTTGAAGAGGACAGAAGAGCAGACAGACCAGAAAGAGCACAGTGGAGTGGACTGACCTTGCCTGGGGCGAAGGACTTCAGACCAATGATGGAAATCTTGTCATCAGGGCGGATCTTGTCATAGTCCCGAGGGTCTGAAAAGGTCAAAGGCAGTAGGCCCTGCTTCTTAAGGTTAGTCTCTGCAGAGGGAGACAAGTGATTTGAATATTAGAGATAAGAGGTATTGCAGAGGCGATTCAGCAGCATCGATTCTGGAACGTTAGAATTTATTATAACAGATCACAACAATAATATCCAATCAGATATAAAGCCAAAATTCTCAAAAATTCTATAAAGTTTGAGATTAAGATGCACTAAATTATTTCCTGTAATCTAATCGGTCTCAAACTGTACAGTGCTCATCTATCAAATTGCAACCCTGTGTACAGCAATTGATCACAAAAACAGATATCAGCTCTAGGAGGCTGTTTACATTTAGTATGTACAAGTACAGTGTAAATGAAATCTGGTAAAAGTATATACAGATATGATCCGGTTATGAAATGTGTTATGCAAGGGGAAAACAAGCTCATAGTGATGTACGTGTTTTATAATCCTGCAATCCTGTGCATAACGACAGAAATAGATGCATTTGTTGACATTACAATGAGAAACAACCACTCAAACATACATCATGCACACTTAAGCCCCATTTGGACAGAATTAAATGTATTTAGGGTCCTGGGATAACTTCCTCTTTTACAGGCGCTCCTCTGTAATTTTATTGCAGTCCAGATCGGATGTCAGTGTTTTTCTCCCCCTTTCCTTGAGAAAATTACAGGCCTACTGTTTTTCACTCAGCAGTGCTCTTATATTTTAGTCCCATCTGGATACACATCTCCATGTTTCTCCAGGCAGATTTTTCAGCCTCCTAGAGCACGTATCAGAGACCATCCACCAGATATTAAACTTTCCCAATCACAAAATCCCCCAAAAATTATGCTTTTGAAGAAACTCAACCATTTATTTGGTCTGAATGGTAAAACTTTGACTTCATATTCCATCCAAAAGATCAATGTTAAAAGGCAAAATCACACAGGCTCATTAAAGCAGAGATTAGAATGGAAGCTACAGGTATGAAGCATTACTTTTTATATTAGAGAACTTTATATTTTCAGAATTTTTTAGAATTAAAGACTAGTTGTATCACTGTCAGTTCCTTAACCCCTTAAAAATCCAGGCTTATTACATACTAAGGCTAATTATTCATTAACTACAGGGACTTTGATGCAAACTAAATGATAGGTTATAAAAGTGTGTATTAAAACCTTGGGCCCAGCTTGGTAAGGGGTTAAAGAACTAAAATTAAATTCTGATAAAAATAAAATACAACCCACTAGAAACATGCTCACCCTGTTGTAATTTTATCGCTGACAGTTTTGTCACAGACGTGCCCCTGACAAAGTAATCTAATCCAAACAGGTCATTAGACTCTTTTATACACACAACACTCATTTTTTTCCCTCTCACACACATACCATGGATTCTGGCAAAGCTCTTGACGATGATGGCTCTTCCTCCCAGGTGTCGTGGCTCTAGAGCAGCATGCTCTCTGCTGGAGCCCTCACCGTAATTCTCATCTCCCACAACCACCCACTGCACATCGTTAGCCTGCACAGAAACACAACACAAAACATCAACCACTGGACTCTGCACTGTCCGTAAACACACATAGATCAGTTACATTTAGACTAGGTCTGAAACTAACAACTATTTCAATAAGTGAACAACCTATGGACTATTGTTTAATTAACACACCAATATAACTATGCTTTCTTTAGTCCCTCTGTATGTACTGTGAGTGCTCTTTCAAAGCTCTTTCTTCAACACAAGCGATTTCTAACAGAAGCCTAGACTTGCTGTAGGGTGGAGCAATTTGCTGGAAAGACCATGTTGATTGCATCAACATTACAGGGCACTACATGTTTAGTAAATGCTGCATTGATGAATTTTTCACAATGGTACTTACTGACTGTCTTGTTATTTATTATTAATAAGAATTATTATTACTATTATTATTATTTAGTTATTAATACAGCACTATATACTCTTGCACAGTATTTATATTTCCCTGATCTAACACTCCAACATGCTTCAAAGCAAACGGGGCTTTATAAGAACCTGTTGAACAGTGAGTGACGTGACTGCATATTAAGCCTATTAAAGCATAAGGCATTGATTTATGCAAGTATCGCTGTATTCTAAATCCAGACCTTACAACAGAGCCTGAGTGTGCATACCTTATAGAAACGAGCCACATCTGGCACACCACCGTACTCTCCAGTCAGCTGGTTCTTGATCTTGTTGACAGCATCATTCTCGATATTCACCGCACCAATCAGCAGGTTGTTGGAGATGTTGTCAAGGTGACCACGGAACTTCAGCCATGGCCCAGCAGCACTAATGTGATCTGTAGTACACTTCCCCTTCACCTGAGAGAGAGAGAGAGAGAGAGAGAGAGAGAGAGAGAGAGAGAGAGAGAGAGAGAGAGAGAAAGAGAGAGAGAGAGAGAAAGAGAAAGAGAAAAAGAGAGAGAGAGAGAGAGAGAGAAAGAGAAAAAGAGAGAGAGAGAGAGAGAGAGAGAGAGAGAGAGAGAGAGAGAGAGAGAGAGAGAGAGAGTAAATGGTAAAATCCAGCCAGCCTACAACAAGTTGTTGACAGACAGCCAATTCGGATCATTCAGGGTAAAGGGGAACTCCACCAAATTTTCAAAAAGATCTGATTAATTTATTTCCTGAGATGTAAACAATGTCATTGGTGGTCATTGGAATCAGGGATGGCAAAGTCTACAGCACAAATATAGCCATTATATTCATTCTTCCCCTAAACAACCTGTGACAAGTGCTTGAGTTTATATGCATAAATGTTAAAAATGGTAAAAACAGTAAATCTAAAAAATTACATTTTCTTTGGGGACTATATTGCCATATAACAACCTGCATGTACCTCTCCACCATGTACGGATTTAAAATATGTTTTAGACATATCAATACTATTCTAAACCATCTCAGGCATGAAGCAGTGTATTCATAACCATGTCATATAATACTTTTCTGGGAATGAGCTTTAAGAGGCATTAAACTGTTTAAAGACATCATTGCCACTGCGAACAATTCTGTCTCAGTAAGTTTCTGTAGAACGGAGCATTTCAAATCAAACCACTCTGAATGACTACTTACCTCTTACTGTTTTATTATGCATAAACTTTGAAAATCGTGGAACTTCCCTTTAAAAAATAGCCATAAAAATAGAAAAACAGCTGTAAAGGTCATTTTAAAAAAAAGGTAACATGGTCATTTTAAGGAAAAAGGTCCATTTTGATGTACACTTCACTTTATTCTAATTCATTTTAATTACATTTCTGACAGCCCATTTGACAAATTGTTGATACAACATAAAGGGCAGCTGGCATTTTCAAATGGTATTTAAAAGGCAAAACAAAATGTACCTATGAGGCATTATAACAGTGTTAATAACCTACTGCCCAATTAATTAAAATACATCAACTAAAGTCTCCAGCTTCACTTTCCTTATTAATGAATGACAAACTTTGCAATTCTACAATTCTTCACGATAAAATATTTCTCTCTCACCTTAATCAACACCTGCAAGTCCTCCAGGTCTTTACCATCCCATTTCAGGAAGGGCTCGAGCAGCTGCAGTCTGTTGCTCTGCGGATTCACATCCACTCTGACTGACCCCCCCTCTGTGGGTGGGTGCTGGTATGTGTCCTCTCCAGGGTCGAAGTCTCGTGATGGCAGCTCGTCACCCGTAGGGGGCACCAGCTTAAATTTCTCTCCTTTAGAATCAGTCAGGTAATCTGTCTCCGGGTTAAAGTTCAGAGTGCCTGCTATCGCCAGAGCAGTGACGATCTGAGAGAGAGAGAGGGAGGAGGAGAGAGCAGGGAGAGGTTACAATATTATATTACCTTACAATATGGTTTTCTGAGCTTATCAAGAACGTAAGTATTTAAAATACCTATACCAACCTATATTTTTCTCCCTTTTGAAAATAAAAGAGTTTGATGCAGTGTGTTAGTGAACGTATCGTTCACTCATCAGTCCATAGGGAAAATAAGCTACTAACATGGCCATTCTGAATTCACAGTTTTTGTAATGTCACCAAAACCAATACACTTACAAATATTCACCTCATCAGCTTACAGTAATTTAGCCTGGCCATTCATATTGAAGTTTAAAATTTTCAGTCCAGACTGCTTACTGAATGATGACAATGAAACATGGCAGCTACTTAGAACAGAGAACATTTACATATGAGTCTTTAAGGCACAGTAACACACACAGCCTGTTTTATTCTGAGGGATAAAAAGACACTGGAAAATGGTCATGTAAAAATCAACTATGGCTGTTATTGGCACACTCACTCAAATATCATAAGTGGAACTTGGGGGGAAAAATAAAAGTGCAAGTAAAATGTAGGTTATGGGCCTTTAAAGAATACTGTCCGACTGCATGTTTCTTTACAAAGAGAGCATGTATTCAAGGTTTTTTAATGCAGCACCACCGTTTTATTTTTTGAACAGACGAAAGGAACAATATATTGTGTTGCATATCATGTATGATGGAAACATGGAGTTATGTTTTTGCTATATCGCCCATTCCTATGATCATGCCAATAAAGCTGCTCAAGTCTGAACAGATAAAAAAAGCAGCTGTTATTACAGTGACAGTGTTTGTATACTTGTTTGATATCTGCCAACAGAAGGAATTTGTTATTGATTTTAAGGCTTGTGTGGGCACGCTGGCACAAAACTGCCTGAAAGGTTTGGCTTAAGTTTTGGTGTATGAGCTACAGGAGAAGAGACAAATACTATATACAGCTGGGTTTGTAGGTGTATGCATGTGCATACCTCTATAGTATGTAATGCAATAAACTGACAAAAGCAAGTGTTTCTGTAAATCAGGTGTTTCTGTCTGTGCCTTATACAAAAGAGGGATGGGGATGCAAATTTTGGAAAATTCTTTTGAAAGATAACCAACCAACATTAGTCAACAATTAATCGTTAACCAACAATGATCCCACAATCAAAGACGCGACAAATCAAAATATTATAAAATGGTTCCGTTTCTAAAATGTGATATGCTGAGCCACATTCAGAGCTGTTGTAAAATACTTGATATACACACACTTATGAGTGCATACATCAACTGAATTGTGTATTAATGCAGTGAGATATTAAAGTGTTCCTTGTGTGGACTGTGGAACACAGTACTAATAGGAAAGGCCAGGCATAAGCGTGTATGGACCATTCAACCGAATGGGTTCAAAGTCAGGGTTGAAAACCCATTTCAGACTTTTAGCTGACTTGGATTGAAGTCCTTTAGACTAAAGTCCTTTTAAATGACCCCTTGCCTTAACTATGTTTAACGTGTTTGTTTTGGTAGAGACATTTCTTAAACGTTACACACTGACTTTCAGACACTGGGGCACATTTACTTCAAAACAATGGAATCTAACTGCTCACCATGTGGCCATGAAGGACTGGAACGCAAGTGCAAGGACCGGGTGTGGCTAAAATAAGGGTCCGTCTACAAACTAAAACATTGTGTTTTGGTAGTTAAACGAAAACGTGGGACACCATTTTGTAAGTGTTTCTTAATATAAAAAAGGCATAAAAATAAATTCAAACTTTTCCACATTTTAAAAGAAATCAAAAATCTCTTTTAAAGTATAATTTTCACAAGCTGAAATTTAGGGGTTAAGGTCTGGGACAGCTGTCTTCCAATAGAAAGCACCCTAGAGATTATGATTTTGTATATATTTAGGTTATTGCTATTTCAATGAATGCCTTAAACTGATATCATAACATAATGACTAAATATCTATGGGCTGAAAACTTGGTTGTTGCAGAGGGACTGCAATTCAGTAGAATGGTCAGTATATGAAGTAAAAGACCAAGACCATATTAAACATACCATACGTAATGCAGAGGGGCTGACAGTTGTACATTCACGATTATATGATTTAATACCACCATACATCACACTTTCTCCCAGAATAAAAAATAAATAAATAAATAAAGTTTAAAAAATAAATCCAAAACATCACTATTTTTATTTGCATACTTCATTTTTTAGTAGGCCTATCTAGTATCTATCTAACCAATTGCCTGCTGTGCACTCGTGTGTACAATCCAAAAACATTCAACTTGAATGATACACCTGCCTATCCAGATAAGAACTGCTGTTTGTTGGAAATGAAACATACATTTAAGTGACACCATTGGTCAAACAACTGCTTATTTGTTGGTTAACAGTTAATCTGTAGATCATTTACATCCCTAAAAGAGACTAACGTCTCTGTGTCTCAGTTGTGTGTGTCTGTGTACCTCAGGTGAGGTGACGAAAGCGTGAGTGGCTGGATTTGCATCGTTCCTGGCAGTGAAGTTTCTGTTGAAGGAGGTAACAATGGTGTTCTTTTCACCTTTCTTCACATCACGTCTGCAAAAGATACACACACACACACACACACACACACACACACACACACACTTCTCATTAATACAACACACTTGATACATACAATACAAAGAAATGTGTCTGGTTTTCAACGGGGTACAGTAAATGTAAAGCAAATGAAGACTATGAGAACAGTTTCAGTGTATTGCAGTTCCTTCACCTGTCCCACTGCCCAATGCACGGTCCACACGCATTAGCCAGAACCACACCGCCCACATCCCTTAGGACCTTAGCCTGCACAGGTTAGACAAAAATTAATATAGGAGTGTACACAAAGTTTGGAATCAAATGTTTTCAATAACGTGAAAATTTATATAAATGTATACAATCATTCTAACGTACTAGGTCCTGTCTAACTGTGTAGCTCTCAAAGAATAAAAAGGAGGCTAGGAGGCTGTGTGTACAGAATAAACAGAGCTTTAGATGTCAAGAATGAAGTTATAAGAAAATTATTATCTCGAAGGCCTTGTATTTCGAAAGTGGCAATCATGCCTCACTTGAAAAAAAAAAAAAAAGTATAATTACAGCATATTATTAATCATGTAATAACTTATTGTTGCTCTGAAATTACCTGACATTTTAAACAAAACATCTAATAATACCTTTCACGTCTAGTATATATTTAAATCGCCCATGTACAATTTCCCTATCATTTTTTCTTTATTCTTGATTTAGCTTGATATGACCAGTCATTCTAACCTACTGTTCTAATGTATTGTTAGTATACAATAGACAAGATGACATGTAATTATAGACTATACTAGTAGAACATCACTAACCCATGAACTACACATAAATATGGGGTTCCAAAAGTCTGAGACTGAAAATGCTTCTATTTTGCATTCTTTTCTAATTTAAAGCAGTTCTCATAACAAATATCACCATAACAATTTGAGTAAAACTTATAGTCTTTGAAATATTTACATGAATTCCAGAATTGCTTAGTGTTTAATACATTATGTTCCTCTTTAGCTTTAATGACAGCGTGCACTTAAGCTGCATGAGCTCCACAAGTTAATGCAAAAGCCTAATGAATAGATCAAGTACACTTCAATGGAAGAGAAAACTCTGATCTTTACATGGTCTGGCTTTAGCATCACAAATTTGTTACCAAGAAAAAGTGCATAATTTTGGATATTTCTTCTTCATTTTACTTCATATAACTTAAACAAACATTTTTGTTTTTGTGTTAAGTTTCAAACGTCTAAAACATTCTCCAGGATTAACTGGGGAAAAAATAAAAATAAATAAATAAATAAATCAGATTTTCATTGTGGTCTCAGACTTTTGGACTCCACTGTACATACTTTAAACATCACATGGAAAGATCGCACAAACCTGGAAAACCAATGGATATTATATATTATTAGAAGCTTGCCCAGTTGGTTATTACATGATAATTATATTAACATAAAGGAAAATACAAGCTACAGGGTAAGGCTCTGTAATGCGCATGTGTACTTACTAACTATACTTGGATCACAATAATATAGTTTCTCGCAATAATTCTGCAGACAATAATAGTTTCTCTAAACCTTCATTATCATTCAAGCTTAATGTATTAGTTATTATTGTACAACAAAAACAATATTGCTCCAAACTTTTTCTATGTGATTCTTTTTTATGTGTATGTGCAAACGCGTACATATCCATCTCTCTCAATGGTGGCTCTGATCTGTTCTGATCCAGGGGTGACAGTGAACTGGGCTTTGCATTTCAGGCCACGATCCAGAGCCTGTTTAGCCAGTGAGGCTGCACGGCCCATGTCCTCATAGCTGGAGTTTGTGCAGCTACCAATCAGACCTATAAAACATCATCAGATCATAGCCTGTTAGACATCTGGATGCAACATGATGGCCTACATATTCTGCAATTATGCACTTCAAGTGCGGGTTAAAGCAAAAAAAATAATAAAATAAAAAAATTTATAATAAAAATAATCCAATTCCACAGTTTTACCACAGAACTAGAAGCTTATAGCCCATTGATTATAGCCTCATCAGGCAAACTTCATGCCCCAACCACACACTGCCTCAAACCTCACTGAGCTGTTAAGTAATCTCAAAGGGACTTACATATGTAGTTTCTAACACTAAACAACTGCAAGTCGCACTAGTAGCAGCCACCTTAAAGCTTGAATTTTGACAATATGTTTGTCCACTTTATAGAGAATTCAGAAATATCCTAACTCCAATATCTGTTGCCAGGGCAACTTCATATTCATATTGCAAACAGCAGTTTTTTTGCAAAAAAATCTTTTCTTGATCTTGTCAGATCTTAACTTATACTGCAACACAGTCATAGTTTTTAGACCATCTATTTGGCGTAAGGATAAATAAGCAGATATTTTTTGCCAAAATATACTTTAACTATAACAAATATTTGGATATACAGTTAGTTTTGGGAAGTGTATGTGCATGTGTGCACATCAACTTACCCACTTTGATGTCGACTGGCCAGCCATTCTTCTGAGCTGTAGCTCCAACTTCAGACACTGGATGAGCCAGGTCAGGAGTGAAGGGTCCATTGATGTGAGGTTTTAGCTAACAAGCAAAAAGACGAAGAACTAGGTTTAAACATCACAGTAACGTGTGGCGTAGGCATGCATGTCAAATTAATTCAGATTCTCTTGAATAGGAACAGGATGACTGGTTTTAATGATATACAAAAACCTAATGATAAATCACAGTTTAGACAATTCTGATAAACAGACTATCACTTTGAAATTAAACAGACTACTGCTGACACTCTTCATTAAACCCCAGGCCTGAACAACACACATTTACAAAGTTAGAAACTGAACAGTAAACAGTTGCATTATTTGGCCAAAAGTATTCTGTGAATGAGAAGCTTCAAGTCTCAAGCAGTCATATCTACTATTTAGCATTACCCTTCAGTGTGCTCCAATTATGATTATATTTGTAGGCCTGAATATAGTTATACAGTCTGAATATTTTTCAGATTTATTTAAATTGGAGTTAATTTTTTGTAATGAAATTTCCGATGTTTAATATATATATATATATATATATATATATATATATATATATACACACACACACACACACACACACACCACACACACACAGTGAAATGATTGTGTATTAGTGCCTTACAACAAATGTTCAACATATTTTAATAATATATACAGTATTAACATCTTACAGGGAACACACTTCTGCACATTTTAACACACAATTAGTATGCTAAATATGACACACTGGGGGTAAAAGGCCAGTACAAAGTTTTATGTTGTACATTTTATTTTTCCCCCAGTACGTTAAACGTTAAACACAGCAAAACAGAAAAATGCCATATTTAAGTTCGCTCCCTGTAGAGAATGTTAAATTATTCATCAGTTTTATTTAGAAAAAGCAACAAAACATAATTTGATGTGGGTGCCAAACATTTGTTTACGCATGTAACCGGTTTGTTTGTTTGTTTTTTTTTAATACTGTCCCATCCCTCGTCTTCACTCAGTTCATACCGAGTGAAGACTGTTTGACCTACCTCACTCAGGTTGATCTCAATAAGCTGGTCATAGTGGCAGCCTGAGTCAGGAACCAAACAGTCTTTATACTCATCAGCCAGCTCAGCAATCTCTGAAAACAACAGTAAAAGAATGAATCATTGTGAGATTGTGAGAACATGTCGGAACTGAGCTCATCAGTGCTGATAACCTAGTTGAACCACTTTATTTATAAGTCTTGACATTCTGACATACTATGCCCTCCACAAATATTGGCACCCCTGGTAATCATGATCAAAATGAGCTGTAAAAAAATATTTGTATAGGACACTGTATTTGAGTAAAATGGTATCAGGTAGGGTCTCCGAGCTATCTGAGTGTTTCTGCCCATTGATAGGTGGAGGTGGTGGGGGGGCAGAGATAAAACAACATTTTTGGTTAAAATTAATGTTCTCCACCTGCTGGTGCACAATGACAAAACTTATCATGAAAAGATGTTTCAGAGGTATGCAAAAGTTACTACATTTTGATGGATGATGACAGAAAAACATCTTTTCCTTCTTTTAAATGGAACAATATGACCAGTCATGACATAGGGGTAAACAATCATAATATAACTAAGGATGCGTGCGTTTGTTTACCTTTGCGTCCGGTTTTCTCCAGATAGGTCTTCATGCGGTGGTTGTAAGGGAACACGGATGTTGTGGCTCCAATCTCAGCTCCCATATTACAGATAGTTGCCATGCCTGAAACCAACACAAACACAGGATTAAAAACCTTACTGAACTGCAATATTTACAACTGGAAAACACTGAAGGTAATCCTAAACAACAGAAATGACTGCTAAAGTCAGGCTTCTCATTTGTGGAATACTTTGAGAAAGCTGCAAAAGGTGAACACCGTAAACTTGATGGATTCTGGGTCATAATGTAAATGGTGTATATATGCACCTGTGCAGGAGATGGAGTCGACTCCAGGTCCATGGTATTCCACGATAGCACCTGTACCTCCTTTCACAGTCAGAATGCCCGCAACTTTCAGAATGACATCCTTAGGAGACGTCCAACCAGAAAGACTGCCTGTCAACTTCACCCCAATCACCTGAAAGAGAGAGCAGGCGAGAAAGTGAGTGAGAGAGACGGCATTTAAAATTAGTATAAGGAGGATAAGAGCCTACAACTGCCTTCTAAGCCTAAAAATGAAAGTAAATAACATGAAAATTGTACTTCAATTGAAAGGACACTAGAAAATCAAAGAGAAAAAGAAGAGAGTCCCGAGGGAGAGAGATGAGAGCGTTTAAATACAGCTGGAGATGGTTTACTTATGACAGAACTCACATTGGGACATTTCAGCTCCCATGGAATTCCTGCCATGACATCCACGGCGTCAGCTCCTCCCACTCCAATGCAGATGGCCCCAAGACCGCCACCGTTGGGTGTGTGTGAGTCTGTGCCAATCAGCATCACTCCAGGGTACGCATAATTTTCCAGGATAATCTATAGAGCAATCAAACATCTTAACACATTTCTTTAACGCCAGGTAAACAGTAAGTGTAGTAGTTGAGTAGTAACGTGTGTACAGGTGCATGTGCAGCTCTATGTATCTCATGGTAATTTCTGTATGTGCAGGTTAATTAGAACATTCACAATAATCAGATTATTATTCTTTAGGAAATGTTTCAACGCATTAGAAAATCTCAAAATTCTCCACGATACATAGTAAATGTATTAACAATTTTCATCAATAAGTTACCAGAATGTCTGCTGCTTAAAGACCCTCTGCACACAAAAACACATTTTTTTTAAATGGTTAACTCCTCTTGGACAGCTTATTATGATTACATAGTTCGGTATGTATCAAGTTTGCTACCATAACGCAGAGTTCACATTTCCACTGCAAACACACGGTTTCTTAGTATTTCTATGAAAAAAGCACTTCCTGTGGCTGCTTAGTGGGGGGGGGAGGGGGGGGAGGGGGGGAGAAACACACACAACACACTATGGTTTTTGAGCCTGTTTCTCGTACACCATCCGAGAGCTTCTGTCCAATCACCTTGAAGTATTTCTTTACACCTTCCAAGTACGCAAACTAGATAGAATGGAAATACGTCAAAGATGATACGTGCTGCTCTTTTTGCACAATTAGTTACATATTGGGCACAGCATGACCTGTTATTTAAGACCATAATTGCCATTTAATCACACAGAGAGAGAGAGAGAGAGAGAGAGAGAGAGAGAGAGAGAGAGAGAGAGAGAGAGAGAGAGAGAGAGAGAGAGAGAGAGAGAGAGAGAGAGAGAGAGAGAAGCCCTGGATCCTTAAACACACGCGATTCTAAAATGATAAATCTTTGAGTACAAGCTAAGCTCAGCAAATCAGTAAATGTGTATACAATATACGCTAATATCATCAAGTCTATAGATACATATACCCAGGAAGAATAGATGGATCTATCGATTAAAGTACCATAAAAAGGTAGACAGGACACAATTCTCTTTCATTAGCGTTGTACCTTACGAATGAGCCACAGTTCAATATACAAAAAAGAAAATAAATAAATAAATTAATTAATTAATAAATATACCTGTGCTAACATAGCTAACAATGTTTGGGATAGTTGGATTGTGCAGTCAGCAGTAAGGATGAGTCAGAACATTTGAAAAGTCATGAAAGCTTAAAAAATAAATCTTACAGTAAATCAGAGTGTTTGATTATACACAAATAAGCTTTTCTAACGTTTTGTGTTCTCATAGATAAGCACTATGACATGTCTAAACATCATCTTAAACCTTACATTTTGGTCAAAGTAAAGAAAACAAACACACACCCGAGCATATTCATCATATATTATTTGAATATTGTTGTGAAAAAAAAGAAAATCAAATTTGACTGAAATGCCCATCCCTAGTTAGCAGTTAACTACAACAGATCAACAATGGTGGGTTTTGAAACTGAGACAACATCAAAAGTTCTATTCCTCATCTACCTAATAGTGTCAAATAGGGAGTCAGTTAAAGCTGTGGCATCCTGTCGTGGCTAAGCAAGCCAAAACAAAACAACAACAATATAAAATGATTACATGAAATACAAATATTTGATTTATTAAACAAATTGTTGTTTAATGGTTTTGATCACTAATGTCCAATAAATGTCATTTCACCAATAACATTATTCTGAGCACCAAAATAGAGCTTAAATTAGCGATGCCCTTGTCAGCTGTGATTAAACATTACACTATATACACCAATGTGTCTGAAGAATTATTTACACAACAGTAAAATACAGACCAGAAAAACAACAAACCAACCATTTCATTGGGAAGGGAAACAATCTTGTTTTGTTGAAATATTAGTGGATACTTTATTGAATGTTATTCTAATCAATTCTAACATTCTAAAATTGATGCCATAGAATAATAACCTTCAGGCTGACGCATCAATACATTTATACCTCAAGTAGTTAATCTGCGTGTAGTTGAGTAGGAGATGCTGTGTGTACATACATATAATTTGGCACGTGTAATGGAGCTGTTTACCTGGTGAATGATTCCTGATCCTGGTTTCCAGAAGCCAACACCGTATTTGGCTGCAGCTGTAGCCAGGAAGTTATAGACTTCCTGATTCACTTCCTAACCGCCAAAAAGGAAATAAGTGCTTTTAGTTTCCAACTCATGATTTAAATGATGAGCTGGTAAATCCAACCACTGTTTCTAAGTAACTTCTGCAAACATAAAGGTCACCAAGTTTATCAGGCCTCATTCAGAGGGAGAAAACTGATCTGGGACCAGCTCTCCAGACCCTTATGTACTGTTCATTACAGTATCAAAGTACAAACACGTTGTTGAGCAGTGATGCACTGAAATGCCATGTAAGCAATCCACCTGACCAGTGATTTCAGGGATGTGTCACTTTGTGACTAAGATAAACCTCAGTAAACCCAGCTCAAAGCCTTAAACAAGCATAATAAAATAAATAGCTCTGGTTCTCAAATCTGAATGGCTGAGCCATTGTAAAATATATGAGGTGCAAACATATGACCACATAAATCCAGGAGAATTTCACCAATTCCCTGCATCATTAAATGGTTAAAATGTAAACAGTCATTCAGAGGTCTGATGTGATGTACTACGTTCTAGTGAAACTTAACAAGTTTGAATTATTCACAGCAGCAGTGATAAGAGTCAGATGCCTATGAAGTTTAATGCCTCTAAAAGCTACCTCACTGAAAGAAATGGTTATGAATGCCTAAGGCATTGTTTTACAATAGTTTGGAGATGAGCTTTTGACCTCAAACTTCTTTTCAGTGGAGAGGTACATGCAAGGTGTCAAAGCAAAATAGTCCCCAAATAATTTTTTTTTCCAGATTCACCACAATTTTACTATTATGAACATGACATAAAAACTCATAAGACAAGTGTACATGGTCATTTTGGACAGTACATAAGATGCCTATAATTGTTTTGTAGACAATGAAACCCCTGGTTCCTTTCACCACCACTGTAAAGAAATTTGAGTCAGTAACGTCCTTTACAAATTATCTTTATAGTGTTATAGTGAAACACCTCACATCAAGACACATTCAATGATTGTTTAAAAATTAGGAAAAAAACCCAGCAGAATTCCTCTTTAATGTGCCATGTTAACAACAAAAAAATCATTCTAATATTTGTTATATATAGGTTTAGTGTTGCAGCATGTGTGGAAACTTCTTGGGTCAAAATTTTATTTTTTCCAACGCCCCTTAACTGTGGTAATCTCACTAACACATGGTGCCTTGTGGCTAAGAGCTTCATTTAAAACCAGCTACACAGCCTTCCTGAAATAATCTGCATGGCTGTCCTATGTACCTTTGCAACTTTTTGCATCTTGTTCTTCAATGCAGTGTTGGACTAAGCCCCGTGCCCTAATCCCAGATATTCTGGCTGATATAAATATCAAAACACTAGCAGGTCAACATATCTGGATTTTAACCTCATAATTATTATATATATGCCTGATCATGGTTGTGTTTCCCTTAACTGGGTGGAGACAAATATAAATGAGGAAAGCAGAAACATTTAACTGGGTGCTATAACATACTTAAAGGAGGGTTTGTTTATTTGTTATTTACATAACTAATGTTATCAGCATGTATGCTTTGCAGAAGTACTTATATTTTTCACACAAAGAGCCTGTTCACACCTTGCATCATGACCAGATTGTGTCTGGATAAACTGGCTGGATTTACATTTTTTTCTAAAATGCTTCCCCAGTTTGGCCAGAGACCACAATACGTCCTGAGGTGTTTTCCCCTGGCTTTTCACGCTGTCCAGTGAAATCCACATGTGACCCAATCATCAAAAACATGTTAACGCAAGGCATAAAAAGGCCCTAAGTGAACTTTGCTTGACTCTGCGCATGATTCTGTGCAACTACAGCACAGCATATTATTTCATACAGGTACAACCTAATATTAGCTACAAAGTGAGGATCACTAGGAAGCAAAATTAGTAATCTGCCAATGTAGCTCTTTCTACTGATAATCATTATTATTAAAAAGTGCCATCAAGTTGGTTCTGGCTCCTAGTAGTGACTGTAAGTTTAGTGTTTTTCAAGCACATCCCATCTTCTGTTTGCATCTTCAGTCTTCTGTATGGCTGGTTCATGATTCATCTGACTGTATCCATCCGTTTGTTGCTGGTCATTCTCTTCCTCTTTTTCCTTCAACTGTTCCAAGCATAATGGTCTTTTCCAACTAATTAGTTTTCAGCAAAAATGTTATGACTGACAGGCCTAAATATAACAGTATAATTCACACACAGTCTAACATTAGCACTACCAAATTATGTCTTTATCATTAAATGAACAGAAAATGTATTCTGTTCATGTCAGAAAGCAGCTTTCGGCTGTGTAGTTCATTTTCTCTCTTCAATGTTTGCTCCTTTTTCACGCTGTTGTCGTTCCACTGTGTCAAAGGATCAGTGGACTTCTACTAACCATGGTTCGGCCTCTTGTCTTCCATTTTTCTCATGGTTCTGCAGTTCTGTTGTCTCCAGTATCTCTGTACCTTTGGCGTTCCTCCTCTGCTCACTCTGTGTTTAGACAGCGGGCTGTTCTCAGGTGTTACATTTCATTGCATCACTGGAATCCAAGGTCTGCCTCGCCTTTTCTTAAAAATTGGATATGCCCAGTGAGACTTTATGGGAGCTTCAGATTTAAGCATCTGTGATCCATACAGACAGTTTTCTTTAAAAGCCTAATAACTCTCATACTGTCTTCCAATGTGAAAAGCACATGATCCACATGTTTAGAAGATCTATGGTGTTGATTTAAATAAGATAATTATGCTAATCACCAAGCTCTTTGCTAGCTCAAACACATGGGTTCAAGCAGGGAAAACTAAACAGTGCAATGCTGTGGAGCTGTTCAAAAACTGTGCTTTTTCACAAAGCTACCATGAGGGGAATTACAACAATTAATTCAGATTCAATTCATGAGGTAATTAAATCAGAGGGTGAAATTAATCAATTATTTGAAAAACTCTTTAAAATTCAGCAGAAGATCTGTTTTACACAATTTCTGCTCTACTTCAAATGTAGTCGACCCACCAAGACTTGTCTGGTGTCTGAAGTTCACTTGTTTATTGTTTAACTGGAGTTACATTGCTAATGAAGTAATGGAAGTTTATACCCCACCGACTGTCACTAAGCAAACTTCTCAAAATACGTGCAAATTAGATTTTTTTCCCCCACACTATCACTTATTTCACTGGAAAATGCACCAGTGAATGTTAAGAAGGAATTCCACCAGTTTAGAATAAATTCTGCAGAATTCAGTCAAGAGTTGTTCACAGTGGTGGTGATACAATCCAGATATCCAGAATATTTAATGCCTCTAAAAGCTCCCTCAGAGAAAGCTATTACACAAAATGGTCACTAACATGCTGCCTGTTGCCCAATACATTGTTGTACTTTAATTCTTAGATAAGGACGTACATGCAGAGCATAAGGCTTCTCACTGTTCCCAAAGAATTTTTTTTTTTCCCAAATTTACTACTATTCTATTATAAACATTACACCAACTCATATGTAGATTCAATGGTCTTTAGGATAGTAAATACAATTGCTATATTTGTGTTGTAGGCATGGTTCCTACCACAAGCACTGTAATGAGTCTGAAATATGCTATAATTTCACCTTAAACCATTCTAAATGATGCTGTTTAAATCCCACTGGTTGATTCATGAAAGAATTTTGAAAAATCTGTGTGATTGCCTTTCAAATGTAAGTTAAATTTCAGCTTGTTGGTCAAATGTGCTGAAATCACACCAAATGAGATGATGGTACTGCTAATTATCCTAGGATCCACGTTAGCCAATTAATCTGTGTCAAACTCGACAGTCTCCCACCTTGGCTCTCTGAAGGTCCTGAACTCCACCAATCTGGGCCTCTATCAAGTGGTCACAGTGAATGGTGGAGGGCACGGCCACTCTGGGGAGTCCACTGCTGATGAACTGCAGCATGGCCATCTGTGCTGTGGCGTCCTGCATGGCCACCCGGTCAGGCCTTAAACGCAAGTACGTACGGCCTCGAGCGATCTCCTGACCCACCGGGTCATCAAGGTGACCATACACAATCTTCTCAGACAGAGTGAGGGGGCGGTTCAGTCTGACCAGTGAGAGACAAAAAAAGGCAGAGACAAAGGAATGAAGACATGGCAGGGAAGAGGATGATTCATGACTGACCACAACAACTGCTCTTAGCTGCAAATTCTAACATCTAATTTATGTTTTTAGCCACTCTTTAAGGCTATTTTGTTCATTTCCAATGTACACTCCACACACAGTAAGAGAGACTCTTGCCCACACCATATGCCACAAGCATGATTTTGCACAAAACAGAAGTTGAAGGAAACACAGATTAATCTGCCATTTCTTCTGACTTTTGAAACATTCACTAAAACCTGCTAAACATCTGAATGGAAGTCCATTTGGACAGCACCTGTTCACTCATAAATCCCACCCAAATTCTAAGAAACACCATGACCGTGTGATTTGTTCAACTGTCAACAGCTGGAACAAACTGTTGGACAAAAATAAACTAATCATTCTAAGGACTGAGATATTCAGTGGTGCACAATTCCAGTCCTGGATAGCTGAAGCCCAGCACAGCTTTCTTGCCCTACCATCAACCAAACCTGGTCATTAACTGATGAGGTGAATCAGCAGATAAACCATGTAATGCAATGGATATTATAAACTAGCCAGGTTCTAGTCAAACCCTAGAATCCAGCCAGGCAAGACTACAGTAATCCTAGCATTACATCCACCGGCCAGTGAATCTTGCACACTGTACAGCTCATACACTAGTTTGAATCTGACTTGGCATACTGCTGTTTGCTGGGTTGTTTTTAAAGGCATTATTCCATCACTCTTATCCATGTTAGCATGTTTGAGAGAAATACTGCTTTATGTGACATCCACAGAAAGGTAATTCCCATAATTCCAAGGGCAGGGACTGACCTCTTGCGTACGATGCTGATGTTGTCGAGCAGCTTCCCATAGTTGACGGCAGAGCCGGCCTCAAAGCGGCTCATCGCCACTTTCGCTTTTGCACTGAGGGCAGCAGAGACATGAAGTCGTCTGGCCCCATCACCCAGGACAAGCTAGAGAAAAAGAGAGATTTTACTCATTCAAAACATTTACACAGATGCATTTATGACCATTTTCAGAATGTAAAAAAAAGGTAGTCAACATTTAGAGCTGTAAAAACACATCTGATCTTAAAGTGGTAATATGACTGCATCACTTAGGGTCAAATACAGGATGTCCCAAAAAAATTGACATAATTTCGTAGTCTAATAACATAGCCAATTCTCCCTCAAATGATCTCAAATTTTAACAAAATGTGTAAAAACTAACCAAGTTTAATTTGTAATTTTTTTTTCAGGTTGAAGGACGGCGTTCACTAGAAATGAAAAGGCATTTTGTGTGTCAGAATATGCTCGAACACAGTCAAACAAGAGTGTGCAGTGTGCATTTTTGAGAAAATTCAATAAAAATGCACCAACTGGAAAGCAGATTTGGACATGGCACAAAAAATTCAAAGAGGAAGGCTGTCTGTGCAGGGCAAAGGGATCTGGACGACCACCAGTATCGGAAGATATTACATTTGTGAAGCTTTGTGAAATCAGTTATAAAATCTACATCCCTCTGAATTTCTTGTTTGAATTTTGATAAATAAATCTTGTATAGTTCAACATGAAGCCTATTTAATTTCATTTGCCTAGGACATGTAGTTACTCAGATATTCACATCTCAAATGTTGTCAAGTTTTTTAGGACACCCTGTATAACCATTTAATATTCAATAAAATATGTGCTCATTTTTGGCCAAAATAGAATTCTTTAGAATAGAATAGTGAGATGTTACAATTGTTCACATTTGTGTTTATGTGCACTACGAGCAATGCAATGAGCAATGTTTTCTTGTTTGAAAATTAAACAAAATTAGTCTTATTAATATGTAGTATTGTCACAGTTTGCACTTTTTTGTATGATTTGTATGTCTAAAGATAATTTAGGATGAGGCTTTTTTCCCTTACTTTCATTTAAGCCAAACAGAGTTGAAATGCAAAAACAGTGGTCCTACAAGCCTTGTAATTTTTATGACTGCTGTCCCAGGTATTTTAGCCCCCTCAGTACTCGTGGGCTAAGGCCACCCCAAGGCCTCTGGGCACAGGCCCAGTCAGTGCTCCATCCTTTTTTATCAAATTATATGTATTAAACTAAACCCTCTTTTAGAAGAGATTAGACATAGTAACCCCATGTTGCAACAAGCACACTAGCTCTATTCCAGCCTGTACTTTAGTGGAGCTCAGACTGTACTATGAAGCTAAGAGTAAAAGAGAATTACAGAGCTTCTCACAACAAACTTTGCCATGGCATAGCATAACAAGTGCAATAAACTCCTAAATAAAGGCAGTGGTGAGATGACTCATTTACCACAGGTACAAACTGCATGTGACAAGGAACACCCAACACATAAAATTTGATATATGCACCCATGCTGTTTATTTCAGTGCTATAATTGTTCAGTACCACTAATTAACAAACCCTTCCCGAGTTGAAGTGGGTGTGTTTTGGCAGAAAAAGACAAAAACGTGCAAGGCCCCCTAACCCTGGTCCTCCATGACCAGGGTTAGGAGCCACTACCTTAGTTCACTGTACAAACATTTAAATTCTTTATTCACTGAAGGTATCATATTACAAGACGTTTCTCAGTGTTCCAAGCTATTTTTTTCCCCAAGGAAGGTCATGGGAATGACCCTGAGACCATCACTGACAAGGTCATCAAAAAGGCTGTCAAGCAGACAAAGAAAAGCCACACAATATTCTTTTGTGATGGAAGCATTTAACAGCAGTCATACTGTGAATGTCATAAGCAGCACTTACCATTTTGTGACATCTGATTTACAATCAAATTCAAATTTATGAGGTGCTTTTGCTGTTAAACTGGTACGAGAGACATATTGGTGCCAATGTTTCTCTAATTAGGTCTGATTTCATAGTTTTTTTTTCTACACAATACAGAACACTACATTCTCTAAACTTCATTATCATCATGTTTACATTAGAAGTTCATCAAACTTTATCCAACACTTACACACACTGTCACAGTCAGGCAATAACCTTGTATCTCCAAAAAGGTACCTCCTTAACTTTTAATGGCAATTAATATAACATGCTTTGCTTTGTGTCTATATTGTACTTTTACATTTGATAGGTTCTTTTTTTCCTTACTTTAAATTTGGTGCAGGAGCACTGGGTCTCAAAAATATGCTACATAAATAAAACCTAAAATTAAAATGGCTGCATTAGAGCATGAGAAAAACTGAAATATGCAGTATGTTCAGGGCTCAGTTTAGGGGGTGCAAAGAGGATGCATTTATGTGTCATTATGTGAATTATTACAACAGTTAAAGGTCTGCTTACAGCCAAGCAATATGATAGTACATACAGTAGCTGTGATACATTGTCATAATACAATACATATTTCTGAACATATTGTGTATATTGTTAGCACTTGTAGAACACTGGCCAACTGCCTTTTTTATTATGAAGTGAGCAAAATTAATCCTGGATTTAGTGCAACACAGTATGCCAAATATTAAATAAAAATCATTGTATTTACAGTTTGTTTAGTATAGAATAGTAGTACTTTTCTTAATGTACCCCTACTCGTTCTTTTTTTCTCAGTTTCAACTGATCAGATGTCAAATATAAATATCGTGACATATGGTGTATCATGAAAATTTCTTGAAGTATCGCGATATTATATTTTTGTCATAACGCCCACCCATAAGTCTACTATAATTTTAACGAATGTGTAATTTGTTCTACATGAGCAAATGTAAATTCTAATCTCAGTATAAGACGAAGGACACATGGGAAAAGATAAAATTTAAATGTTACAGCAACAGTTAATAGCTGTCAAGTTGTTTTGGCCCCATTATTCATAAATCCAGAGATTTTATTTCCCAAACTGCAGACGAACCGGTCACATTCAATAGACATATGGATTAAGTAGGAGATAAACCGAAGTGCACATTTTTTGTTTTAACACAACACTAGAAAACTCCCAAGACCTTAATTAGGTTAAAATGAGAACATTAGGGCAGATAAAACAGTAAAAGTCTTCGGTTCTGTAACAGCAGCGATGAGAAGCAGCCCTGCGGGTCACGGTGACCTGAACAGCGCAGCTTCAGACACTGAGGAGAAAACACCGCTTACAAACAACAAAAACCCTTCTTATCGGCTTCTAACAGCAGATACACAAAACTAAACTAAAGTTTCACTTTATACCTTCAAGCCTAGACCACAGAAGAAACATTTAAACTGCATTTTAATCCGTAAACTTACCCTTAATCTACTGACAGTCATACAGTAGGACGCCATTTTGCTCCCTGACAAAGATGTCGCTGGGCGGTGACGTCAGCGGACTGCTTTTAAATCCTCTGCGTTCCCAAAATCCTCTCAGATGTATAAAAATTAACAAAGATTAATCAAGTATTTATGTATTTTTTCTTCTATTCACGGTGGCTTTACAGTACTTGAACATTACTTTAAATTGTACTGGTTTATTGGGATTATTTTACAAACAAGATCAATCAAATATGTTAATCCTGTCCACTCAGCTGCCAGCTCATATGACCGCAAATGAGAGCTACCACACTGGCATAATTTGATAATCACACTGATAAATTTACACTTTTTACAGCTTTTATTTTCAATTCATGCAAATACAGCCACATATAATAGTGTGCTTGGGCAAAATCAGTTATTGTGCCTATTAAAATCTCTCAACAACCACATTGTTTCGCCAGAATTTATACATGTAATTATATAAACTTGTAGGCTAATAATTCAGCCCCTTCTGTCTTGGGCTGGGATGTAAATATTTGGGTATTAATAATACAGAAATTAAATATCTGTATTCAAATATCTGTACTGCCTTTTAAAATGCAGTAGTCAGGATATTCTTACTTTTTTCAAATTCAGGAGAATACGTTTATAATTACTCCAATTATTCTAAATAAATAAATTAATAAACTTTTTACATCTTAATAAATAAATAAAAGAAAAAACATCCATGCTTGTTTATTAACTATTTTAAAATCAGAGCATGGTGTGTTGTAAAGACGCTTGTTAGACTCTTAAGAGGAAAACAACAAACAGCTTATGTTCAAACACTGAAGTTCCTGCTAAAGCCTGAGTAGACTGATAAATCACTGTGATGATCAGTTATTAATCTCAGAGTGACTGAGGTCCTTTGAGGGACGATCACACTGAACCATCTCAGTAGTGAACATGTTCAGAAGCTTAGTGAAGTGAGAAGCTTGGAATCAACATTTTTATTGGACTCAATATGTGTGTTTTGTGGCATGATGATGGCACATATGTGACATTAACTGCAAATCACTTAGGTACCAATTTTATAGTCAAATTATATATTGCTAATGGCGTATGGTGAATGATTTACAGAAACTATTTATTGGTTTTAAATTTTAACTTTCTATGATTGTGAGTTTAAGACAGGAAAATATGTTAAATAGGTGCTGAACTGTGTTGCAGTATTCAAATAAGAACTCTATTCAGTACAGTTTACATTTAAATTTAGGCTTGTGACAACTCACAAGTACAAAAGATGAGTAGTCATTATGGGGGTCCCCAGGAGCATTTAGCAAAAAGTGACTTTTGCTGAGTTCTTGAGAGAGGCGGCAGTTCTGCCCAGGGGATTTTAAGAAGCAGCAGTAGACTGAAGCAGGCATTGACCATTTTGTAACTTCATTCAAGTGATCAGCAATTTTCCCTGCTGAAAAAAACAGCACAGATCAGTATGCTTTCCATGCTGGTCTAAGATGGTCTATTCTGGTCAAGTACTGGTTTGGTGCTGATGTACGTGCTCACTTAGAGTGGTCATCCAAAACACAACCTATTCTGGTTTTGCTGGTGATCAGCCTAATAACTTCCATTGCTGCTGTCCAGCATACCAGCATGCAAAACCCAATGCTAGTTCTGCTGGTGACCAGCAATGCTGGTCTATGCTGGTTTTTCTAGCAGTGTTTTAGGACAGAGTACTCAGTATTTGGCCATCACTACTGTATTCTACCCAACTCTTCTAACATATAACTGTACAGCAGTTGTTCAGATGGACTTTCTTCACGGAGAGGCAGAGTATAAACAGAAGAAAGAAATGAAAAATCAAACTTAACCCTTAAACCTGTGGGCTTATTATTTAGTTATTAATCCCTGGCATCCATTATTCACTAATTTGGTGAAAATACATTGAGGTACTGAAAACAATTTTTTTGTGAACAACTTGGAATGACCAAAATACAGAAGCAAAACAAAATAGTGCCACATCTATGAAAAAAATTAGGTTGTGTACTCTCTATAATTTATAAAAATCTGCCTTTTTATGATATATACTGTTGTTCTAATGATATCAATGATATACACAGAACACTATATTGTCCCATTGCCATCACCATCAGTCACTATTATGAATCACTGTATAACTACTTCATGCACCACAATGCAAACCGAATTACTGTTAGGTAATTGACGTATGTATCCTGGCCATTTAGGAGGTTACAGTTTGTAAGAATGGGTATCATAGAATGTGAAATCTTTAACAAAAAAGAAAATAAGGAATAATGAAGTAAACTGAATATAAACTGAGACGTTCAGGGAGAGTAATATGCACAGTTGTTGTTGTTCAGTGAGTGTAGTTTCTGATTATAAAGGGGAGAGTGGCAGTAAAATGCATTACCGTGGTACTCGTGCTTTGGCTGTATGTGGAAAGAAACCATTTTCAGCTAAAGTGAATTCATTCATCCCGACAAAGAGGAAATGTCTGTACAATAAAGTGAGGCCATTTAGTCCAGTAGGCCCTGGGTCAAATCCACAGAGAGCAACATTGGATTATCCATGTCTACAAGCAATCCTGTCTTTCAAAATATACAGAACAATAAAATATTCATTGCTTTCCTGTTATTTCAACAGGTTATTATGTAAGATGGCAGTGCAAGTAAAGATAATGAAACTTGAAGTTGAAACTAATCCAGGAATAACCACAGAAATCCATAGAGTCAAGCATCAGTCCCAGCTATTGTAATTTTAATGAATTCCCCAAAAAGGAGGCCTTTACCTAGAAAGCTCAATATCCCCTCCTATTTTAAGAAGCCATTTCTCTGAGGATGTAGAAGACGTACTCTGGGAATAAATCTCTAAAAGCTCTGCTGAATACAGAGATGAACCACTATGACTATGCATTTATAGTAATGATGAAAATATTACTGTTACAGACAAAATTTTAAAACCAACTCTAAGACAGTATAGCAATGTATGATGTGACAGTTCTTAACAAATTTTGCTCAATCTTGTTAAAATCAGTGTGCAACTAGTTAAGTAGGCTGCTAACTACACATATATGGATCATTTTCTGGTGTGCAATGCTCTACAGAATAATAAAATTAACATACAAAGCACTGTGGGGCTTAAGTATACAACATTTAGTTCTGTAGGCCTTATAGAAATACAACATATTCGTTCTCCAATGGATCCTTTGACATTATAACGCCAAATCATGATACGTTTTCTGATTTATTCTGTTCATCAGCTGAAATGTTTAGGGAAATGGTCCCGAGTCAACTAAGACTACACTTCCCATGATGCAGTTCTTTAAGGTGGCCAGTACTTGCATTGCTGACTGGACATCCTGGCAGCCCAACTGACATTGGTTCCTCCCCCTTTTCAGCCAATAGCAGCTCTGTTGCTATCACTTCTTATATTTTTAGCATTGCATAGCACAGCCTTCCACACAGAAATATCACTTCGCCACATAAAGTAGTGAGCGTATTACTGACCGTGTATGCATGACAAATAGTGGCATCCATTCATTTGTCTCAACTGAAAATAGGGTAAAAAGAAATAAAAGGGCAGGGTGGATTAATAAAAACATCTGGTCAGACAATATAATCGTAGACTCCTGCTGTTTTATTCCATTTAGTAGTACAACCATTAAACCTTGACATGAAAGTACACCATACACCATAGAAAGTTCCAGAGAAAGTTAATTGCCATATATATATATATATATATATATATATATATATATATATATATATATATATATATATATATAATATGTGTGTGTGTTTGTGTGTACATAAATGTGTATGTCTGTGTGTGTGCGCCCCTGTGCTGTGATGTCAAATCCCTGTGTTAATTACTACAATGTGTGGAAACTAGTTCCAGTCTATGTTCGACGCGTCATCACTCACGCGGTCCAGC